TTGTGGGTTTGACTCCATCTCAACTTTTGGTAAAAACTTTACAAAGTGTACACAGTCTCTTTGCACATAAATATGTTGGCCAGAGATTTAATTATGAGGTTATAGACTTTCCTTTCAGAACTCTAGATTCTCTCCATGGCTTCATGACATGTAGTTTTATGGAAGTCCAAAGACAACTTAATTTTGATGCTTTTTGTTGTTACAGTCATTTTTGTAGGAATGAGCTTTAAGAGAGAAACGCTGGTTTCTTCTGAAAGCCACCGTGAGTTCTGTTATTCAGCCGCTCAGTCAGGTTCGACTCTTTGCGACCCCATGGTCTGCAGCAGGTGGCAGTGCACTTGAGTTTGGGGCTCATTATTAATCTCAGCTAGAAAAATCCTTTAAATGATCACATTTAGATCTCTTTTCTACTTAAGTTGTTTTATCTCTGTTGCTTCTACTCCATGCTTTAGTTCCTTTTGCACTTGTTGGCTGCCTCCACCTCTTTTCCGTGTTGTAATACGTGTTTTTATAGGATATAACACTGTATCTTCTCCATATTTCTATAATAGTGGGCTGGCCAAAACGTTCATTCAGGTTTTTCCAGTGCAGGATATACTATACACACACACACAGAGTATCTTATCTCCATCATTTTATTTTATTTATTTATTTTTTTCTCCATCATTTTAACTTGTGCTTTTCTGGTGTTCTGGCAAAACCCTTCTGTGTGGTTTTGTCTCCCACTACATCGAGAACTCTCTGAGGCTTATTAACTTTTGCATTTAGTAGTGCAAGGCCTCGAACCTTATAGGAACTCAGTAAATATTTTTTGACTGAATAAATATGGACTAATTGTGTACCTTTTAGTTGTCCTCAGTCAATGTTCTATGGGGTCACTTCTGCCCTGCGCAGATCTGGATTGCCATGCTACTTCTGGGGGTGTTTCTATATGTGTGTGTGTATATATTATGTGTTGATCTTTTATCTTGACCAGTTCTCTCTTTTTGTCTAAGTCCTTTCCTTTCCTACCTCCCCACCCCCAGTTATCTCTGTTCTGTCTCCTACAGAGAATTAATTCTGGAAGTAACCTTTCCTGTTGAAGTCCATGGGACACTTATCCCCTTTTCTTGTACTGCTTAAAAAAAAAAAAAAAGAACCTGTGTTATTTGTTGTTCATTCTGTTTACTTACTTTGTAAATGGGAAAAGTACAACAGGGCCCTTGTCGGTCATCTGATATTTGTGTTGCTGCGTGGCCCACTGTCACCACTAACCTGGAGGCCAAGTTGATTTTCAGTGCCCCGGGGGCATTCGTCCGGGCAGTGTGGGTCTGTTGGACCTAACACGGCATCTTCTCTTGTTCCCGCTTCTATGTTGCTGAAATATAATGCATGTTCTAAAAACTGGGGTAGAATTTATGGAAAAATTACTAGTACCATGTTATCCCAAGGAGGCACCATATTCAGAACTCCCCCTTACACCCTTTTTCTTTGGCCTTGATAGATACTAAGAATTAGACTCAGAATGGGTGTGGGCCAGTGATGAATAAGCGAGAGCTCACTGTATTTGGCCTATCTAATTTGAAAATATGATGCTCCATCTTTCTTTATGGATCAACCTTACAATATAAAGGTGCCTCAAAAAATTAAGATAGAATGACCATATGGTATAGCAATTCAACTTCTGGGTACTTATCTGAAGAAAATGAAAACACCAATTCATAAAGAACTATGCAACATTATTTTACTGCAACATTATTTACAATAGCCAAGATAATGGAAACAACCCAAGTGTCCATCTACGGATGAATGGATAAACGTTCTGTGTGTGTGAGGGGTGTGTGTGTGTATAAAACAACATTATTCAGCCATAAGAGAAAGAAATCTTGCCATTTGTGACAACAAGGATGGAACTTTGAGGGGATTATGCTAAGTGAAGTAAGTCAGAAAAAGACAAGTACCATATGACCTCACTTATATGTGGAATCTAAAAAACTAAGAAACAGAAGCCAAGCTTATAGATACACAGAATGGATTGGTGGTTGCCAGAGGCAGAGGGTGGGGTGTGGATGAAATGGGTGAAGGGGGTCAAAAGGTACAAACTTTCAGTCATAAACTAAGTAAGTCATGGGGATGTATTAAAAAATAAAATAAGGTAACTTACTTGGTACTAACAGAATGTATGTGGGCTTTCTCAGAGCCTTTGGCAACATTTGTCCTGATATCTTCGTGAGTAAGATAGAAAAAAATATGAGTTAAATGTTATGACAAGGTGGTACATATACACTATGGAGTGTTACTCAGCCATTAAAAAGAATTCATTTGAATCAGTTCTAATGAGATGGATGAAACTGGAGCCCATTATACAGAGTGAAGTAAGCCAGAAAGATAAAGACCAATACAGTATACTAACACATACATATGGAGTTTAAAAAGATAGTAACGATAACCCTATATGCAAAACAGAAAAAGAGACACAGATGTACAGAACAGACTTTTAGACTCTGTGGGACAAGGCGAGGGTGGGATGTTCTGAGAGAACAGCAGTGAAACAAGTATACTATCAAGGGTGAGACAGATCACCAGCCCAGGTTGGATGCATGAGACAAGTGCTCGGGGCTGGTGCACTGGGAAGGCCCAGAGGGATGGGATGGGGAGGGAGGCGGGAGGGGGGATCGGGATGGGAACACATGTAAATCCATGGCTGATTCATATCAATGTATGGCAAAACCCACTACAATATTGTAAAGTAATTAGCCTCCAACTAATAAACATAAATGGAAAAAAATGTTATGACAAGATGAATTCACAGTTAGTTTAAAAAAACACTTATTAAAAAATGATATGTAGACAAGCATGATAAGTTCTGAATCATAGTGGGTCAGTTACCAAGTCAGAACTAGATTAGGATTTAAATACCTCATGTTTGTTTAGCAGATACGTTGAATGCCAGCGTTATAATTCTTGATCACAAACAACAAATACTGAAGAAAATTTTTGGAAGGATATCAGGTAGCTCAGAGATTTGACAGAAATCCTAGGGAAGCAGATTTGGGAAGTAGGAATCTAGGGGATGTAGTGTTTAGAACCGTAATCAAGATTATGCTGGATGCATAACTGGTTAGAGTATTGCTATCAGTTGCTGTTATACACTTGTGTGTAATATTCTTCACTGATTAACTGCATTATTGTTAATAGGAAAAATATGAGGAAAAATGGAGTTAACCCAGAAGTATTTCTGTAGAGGTATTGGTAAAATAAAATTGAATAAGAAATTACTAAATACTCCTAGTAATTATATGTCTGTGTAATAGATGTTGCTGTTGTTGTTCAGTCGCTCAGTTGTGTCCGACTCTTTGTGACCCGTGGACTGCAGCACACCAGGCTTTCCTGTCCTTCACTATCTCCTGAGTTTGCTCAAATTCATATCCTCTGAGTTGGTGATGCCATGCCACCATCTCATCCTCTGTCGTCCCCTTCTCCTTCTTCCCTCAATCTTGCCCAGCATCAGGGTCTTTTCCAGTGAGTTGGCTCTTCGCATCAGCTGGCCAAAGTATTGGAGCTTCAGTTTCAGCATCTGTCTTTCCAATGAAAATTCAAGGCTGATTTCCTTTAGGATTGACTGGTTTGATTTCCTTGCAGTCCAAGGGACTCTCAAGAGTCTTCTCCAACACCAGAGCTCAAAAGCATCAGTTCTTCGGTGCTCAGCCTTCTTTATGGTCCAGCTCTCACATCCATACATGACTACTGGAAAAACCATAGCTTTGACTAGACAGACCTTTGTCAGCAACATGATATCTCTGCTTTTTAGTATACTGTCTAGATTTGTCATAGCTTTTCCTCCAAGGAGCAAGCATTTTTTAATTTCATGGCTGCAGGCACCGCCCGCAGTGATTTTGGAGCCCAAGAAAATAATGTCTGTCACTGTTTCCATTGCTTCCCTATCTATTTGCCATGAGGTGATAGGCCCAGGTGCCATAATCTTAGTTTTTTGAATGTTGAGTTTTAAGCCAACGTTTTCACTCTCCCCTTTCACCAAGAGGTTCTTTAGTTTCTCTTTGCTTTCTTCCATAGGGAAAGCCTAAAAAAATACTACAGTCCTAAAAATACTGTTTTTAGTATTTATATTTTGGTTTTAAAAATATATTTTTATATATAGAGAGAAAAATTAAGGGGGAATATGTATAAAAGCTGATAACAGTTGTTACCTCTGGATCACTGGTTAATGGGAGCTTTTGATTAATTACATCATATTTCTGTAATGTTTGACATATTTTTGCTAATAAATGTAAAGCAAATGAATATGTTTCTCCTAACTGGAGCCTTTAATTAAGATCTTTTTCCCTAGCACATTTTTAGTATAAATAGGGTGATAATAGCTATATTTGGCTTTTTCTGCTCTATGCAAATAGATGTTCTCAAAAAGAACTGATTTTTCTTTCCCCCTCCTCCTCACTTCCCCACTTCCACCCATCACAGTAATCCTCATTTCATCAGTGAGTATGGCAGATGAATATTTGGAGAGTTAAAAAAAAATAACAACAGATTCTAAATAATTTTACATTGTAATTTTGTGATTGCTATGGAGTGGAATGTTTTAAAATATTGCTTTACCAGATCTTGTGGATCCTAGTCTGACTTTTGTTTTACATGTTCTATTTTATTTATCATCATTAATATCACCATCTTCCTCACTCTCTTTAGTTGAACTATCTAGTTTTAAGTATCAGCTTATTCTCTAAGAATACTCCTTTTCCAATTCTTGCATAAATCTTTAATTTCTCTTATAAGAAAGATATTAAACTCTGAGTAAAAACTTTTAGGTAAACCTTTAAAAATGTATTTCTTGAAATATTTTACATTAACTTAAATTTGGCATGTAACTTAAAACTTGTTTTAGTTTGATTGATTTTAATGTTCCATATTACTGAATTGGTTGTTGAAAACATGACATTTTGGTATAACAATTTAATCATGTTAAGAATTAGAATCATAATTTTTATTTGTTTACTTGTTTTTAGCATTCTATATTACATGAAGAGATTTCTATAAATGAAAAAATGCCTCTGTTTAGTAAATCACACAAAAATCCAGCAGAAATCGTGAAAATTCTGAGAGACAACTTGGCCATTTTGGAAAAGCAAGACAAAAAGACAGATAAGGTATGAGCTAAAACAATAATGTTATTATTAAAATACATGAATAGACCAAAAGCCAATGTAAAAGCTTAAAGAAGAATCCTAAACATGTTCTGCAATGCACTCTCAGGGTCTTTGTGAATACATTTAAATTGGTTTCAGGTCTTATGCCATTGATAATTATTGAGTCTGTTGTCTTGAACTCTTCATTCATTTTCTAGAGCCTCAGAACAACCTTGGATCCTCTAGACTTAAGGAGTAACAGAATATTACTCAGTCATAAAAAGAAAAGGACATCTTGCCATTTGCAGCAACTTGGATAGACCTAGAGGTTCACTATGCTAAGTGAAAAAAGTCAGAGAAAGACAAACACTATGCAATTTCACTTATATGTGGAATCTAAAAAACAAAACAATATTAAGGAGAAACAGTTATTGTCCGAGGGGAGGTGGGGTTGGTGTTGGGGTTGGGGGAAGGAATTGGTGAGGGAGATTAAGAAGTACAGACTTCCCGTTGCATGGGTATGAAAGAGATGGTGTGGAGAATATAATTAATAACTAAGTAGTGTCTTTGTATGGCCACAGATCATAACTAGACTTACACATTTTAGAAATGTATAGAAATGTAGAATCACTATGTTGTGTAACAGAAACTGACATAGTGTTATAGGTCAATTATACTTCAAAAACATATGAACAAACAAACTCAGAAAGAGAGATCAGATTTGTGGTTACCAGAGGCAGGGGTGTTGGGAAGAAGGAATTGGATGTAGGCAATCTTCCGATTGAAAGGTAAGAAAGTACTAGGAATATAAGATGCAGCATGATAAATGTGATTAACACAGCTGTATGTTACATATGGAAGTTGTTAAGAGAATCCTGAGTTCTCATCACAAGGAAAAAATTTTTTTCTCCTCTGTTTCTTTAATTTTGTATCTGTATGCAGTGATGGATAAACTTATGGTGATAATCATTTCATGATGTATGTAAGTCAAATCATGTATTACACCTGAAACTTATATAGGACTATATGTCAATTATATTTCAGTAAAACTAGAAGGAAAAAGTTCAGAATGAAAAAATGACATCTAAGGGGTTTTACAGTTAAACGTCTACGGGTTATACTGTTAATACTTACACTGTGTATAATGTTATACATGATGGGTAAAAAGTTTGTGTTTAAAGATCATCTGACAGTTTCTACTATGATGCTGCCTTTTTTCTCTTTTTGGCTACACCACAGCGCCATGTGGGATCTTAGTTCCCCATCCAGGGATTGAACCTTGCACTGGAAGCATGGGGTGGTAACCACTGGACCGCCAGGAATACCTGGTGCAGCCTCCTTTTAACATTGTTTTGAGCAGCACTTCCTCAGAGGAAGGCCTTTTTAGTATCTTAGTTATTCCCTCAAAGGGACATTGAATCCTACATATTCAGTTTGTCTCTAAAGTGACTGGGGCTTCCCTGGGGTCTCATCGGTAAAGAATCTGCCTGCAATGCAGGAGACACAGGAGATGCGGTTTGATCTCTGGGTGGGGAATCTTCTAGACTGAAAAGAGGGCATTCAGGTGGCTTCTGGGATGCTAAAAATGTTCTCTTTTTTGACCTCTGTTTTGGCCACACAAGTGTTTGCTTTATAATTATTCTAAACTCTATATATGTTTAGAGTAATCTTCTATAGGTATATATCACAATTTAAGAAAACTTGTTACATTTAATAAATTAAGGATTTCTTCAGTCATATCATGAAATGTATCTGGAAATTAATTTTTTAAATAACAACTACTATGAGTTAGTTTTTTATTATCTTGTCTTATTCTCTCTATTTCCTTCTTTAATTATGATTAGACTACAATACTTGAAAGTATTAAAACTATACCTACTTTAAAATATTCAGCAAAGTGTTAACTAATTTCCCTATTCATTTCCCTGACCCGTTTTTAAAAAGTTTTTGCTATAATTTTTTAGTATAATTAAGATACTATACAATCTACCATTTTAAAGTGTGCAATTCAGTGGTTATTAGTTTATTCAGAAGGTTGTGTACCCATCACCACTATCTAATTTCAGAATATATTCAGCACCTCATTCTCCCCTCCCCAGGCCCTACTCACTGATACACTTTCTTCCTCTATAGGTTCTCCTATTATTCTTTTAATTAATTAGTTTGGCTGCACTGCATCTTAGTTGCAGCACATGGAGTTTTTAGTTGCAGCACATGGAGTTTTTAGTTGTAGCATGTGAACTTTTAGTTTCAGCATGTGGGATCTAATTCCCTGACCAGGGATCGAACCTGGGCCCCTGCATTGGGAGGGTGGAGTACTAGTCACTGGACCACCAGGGAAGTCCCTGTCCTATTTTTCTTTAGAATGTAGTAAGAATTTTTGCTTTTTTTTTAAGTTTCATAGATAACAAAAAGATAATGGTTATGTGTGAGGGATCAGTGGATTGACAAAAGTTATGGGTTTTGACAATATGTGATTTTTGTACCTATTCCATTAAAAAAATCAGAATCATAGGGATATGTTGAAAATCATTAACAAATGCTTTAAATAAGACTATTTGCTACTGATAAGTCTTCAACATGGATTGAATTTAATTTCCAAGAGTTAAATTTATAATTAATTGGTAGCAAATTTCACTATGAATAAGATTTAAAGAAAGATCATTTCAATTATATTAACCAAGTAGAAATACTAAAATCTCTCTTTTATAAATTAATTTCAGTAATATTAAAAAAAAAACCAGTGCCTACTACACGGCTTTTGTTTGTTTGTGACTGTATTGAGTTCTTTAATCATAAATAAGCAGAAAATAGGTAACTGGTGGGAAGCTGCTATATCGCATAGGGGGCCCAGCTGAGTGCTCTGTGATGACCCGGAGGGTGGTGGGGGTTTGGGTTTGGTCGGGTGTTGGCGGATGGAAGGGAGGTTCAGGAGAGAGGGGATATATAGCTGATTCATGGTGATGTACAGAAGAAGCTCACGCAACACTGTAAAACAGTTATCATTCAATTAATAAAAAATAATAATTATACAGAATTTTAAAAGTATATAAATAAGCAGGGCTCAAGAAGTGGTTTTTGTTTGTTTGTAGCTTGAAATTTCTTTTCACTCTTAACTAATAGCATATATTTTGGTCCCTAGGCTTCAGAAGAAGTGTCGAAATCACTGCAAGCAATGAAAGAAATTCTGTGTGGGACAAGTGACAAGGAGCCCCCAATGGAAGCCGTGGCCCAGCTCTCACAGGAGCTCTACAACACCGGGCTGCTGGTGACGCTCATAGCCGACCTACAGCTGATAGACTTTGAGGTACACCATCTGCCAAACGGTGACAGTTGTGCTTTTCAATTTTTATACACATGACTACCAATATTTGACTGTCATTTTGTGTTACTGTTGTTGTTGTTCAGTCAGTAAGCTGTGTCCGACTCTTTACAACCCCATGGACTGCAGCACTCCAGGCCTCCCTGGCCCTCACTTTCTGCTGGAGTTTGCCCAAGTTCATGTCCATGGAGTTGCTGATGCTATTCAACCATCCCATCCTGTTGCCCTCTTTTCCTTTTGCCTTCAGTCTTTCCCAGCATCAGGGTCTTTTCCAATGAGTCAGCTTTTTGCATCACATGGCCAAATTATTACTATTTATATATTATTTAAAATCCCATTTTCCCCACTAAAACTTCTAAAATCACCTTAATCTTTTTTTTAAAAAAAAAAGCAAAAGATATACTATAGTTAAGTTTTATGCAGCTAAGTAGTTAATGGTCAATAATAATCAAAGATAACTTGTTGAGTGCTTACTGAACGTTGTACGGTTTTTAAGCACTCTTCTTGTTTAATTCTTTTCTTTTTAAGTTTTTAAAAAATATTTATTTATTTGGCTTGCCAGGTTTAATTGGGCATGTGGGATCTAGTTCCCTGACCAAGGATCAAACCCTGACCAGGGATTTAACCCAGACCCCCTGCATTGGGAACATGGAGTCTTAGCCACTGACCACCAGGGAAGTCCCTCATTTTATTCTTAAAGCAACCTGTATATGATCAGTGCTATATTATTAGCCTTGATTTGTAGACGAAGACCCTAAAGTTTAAAGATATTAAGTAATTTCCCCGAAGTCACTAGGTCACTAAGAGCCTAAGCTGAGATTCAAATGTAGTACCTCCCAGGCCTGTTTCTTTAATTAAAACATTTATATCAATGATTTAAGAATTTTGTTAAATGCTACTAATATAGGATATTTCTCTCATTTTTGAAAGCAGTTATACCTAATTACCTAAATAATATGTAAAACAATAATCTAGAAACATAAGGGGTGAATATGTATAAGCATTTTATTATCTATGGTATACCTAACTTAGAACAGTGGTTTCTCAATGAAATGTTTGGTTGTAAGACACATTTCACGATGGAAATCTTGGTTTTGATTTGATTGTTGTTTTGTTACTACTATCAGGCTTTAGATACTGTCAGTTAAGGGCTTGGATCTCCATTAATTCTCAGAGATAGAAGAGAATGGAGATTTCTGAAGTAAATTGCTTTAGTTTTGTCACCAAGGAAGTAAAAGGAAACTCATTACAGTGATAGACCAGGATAAGGTCGGGGCTCTGGGGATGTGTGGAAATACTAGCTCACAGTTCTCTGGATGGCATAGATGGAAGAAGATTTTGGCCAACTCGAGCTGAGGAGGAGGAATGCAGGGCAAGGCTGCTCTGTTTGTTTGACTAGAAGCAACATGACTGAGGGCCCCACAGGGCCCAGATTTCAACTCAGCCTTCCTTTTAGAAACCCCCGTCTTGTCTATGTCCATACCACTCTGAACGCACCCAGTCTTGCCTGATCTCCAAAGCCAAGCAGGATTGGGCCTGGTTAATACTTGGACGGGAGAAACGTGTCTTTTTCTTCCTTCCCTCCCTTATCTGTTTCTCTAACTTTGACATTTTCTGCTCAATTATCTCCTTTCTTACTTTTTCCTCTTGCTTGGCTTGTCATTCTCCCTCCCCATCTTACTCCCTATTTCCCTTTTAAAAACTATTTATAGTTAGTTATTTATTTTGGCTGCACCGGGTCTTAGTTGCAGCATGTGGGATCTAGTTCCCTGACCAGGTATCAAACAAGGGCCCAGTGCATTGGGAGTGTGGAGTTTTAGCCACTAGACCGCCTAGGAAGCCCCTCCCCATTTCCTTTTTTGAACCAGACTTAGTGGAAGGGCTTCCCTGGTGGCTCAGAGGATAAAGCGTCTGCCTGCAATGCAGGAGACCGGGGTTCGGTCCCTGGGTTGGGAAGATCCCCTGGAGAAGGAAATGGCAATCCACTCCAGTATTCTTGCCTGGAAAATGCCATGGACAGAGTAGCCTGGCGGGCTACAGTCCATGGGGTTGCAAAGAGTTGGACACGACTGAGCGACCTCACTTTCTTTCTTAGTGGAATTAAAGTGTAGTTTTATCATTGTGTTTATACACTTTCATGTTTCCTTAATTTAGTTTAAAATGAGGTATTATGGACATTTGTAGGAGCTGTGCATAGTGGAAAAACCCTTGATTTAGATTTAGAATTGTTTATGGAGTCCCTGCTCTGCCATTTGGTAGTTAGCAACATAACCTCTTTGAGACTAATCTTTACCATCTATAAAATAGGAATAATATGAACTTACAGCATTGTTTTTAAATATTAAACTAAGTAAAATATATATACATATATGTGTTATGGAAGAACACTAAATACATATGCAAATATATAGATGCCAAATAGTATATCTTCATCTTCTCTCCTTCTCAAACTTAAGTTAAATATAATCTGGTTTATTTTTGTTATAACCCTTGATGTTTGTTTCTTTATTATTTTAGTTTTAAATTTGGTTGGTGAGTGACTGTAAATGGGAAACTCCCCTGCTCTTAGAATATGGTGTTAGATTTCTATAAATCTCCTATTGTTTTGAGTGTTTCCCTGAAAGCAGCAGTGTATTAAGCTATTATCATCATTAATTTAGCTTGAGTTAATTTATGAGATTAGCCTTATTTGCAGTGGGATGCTGGAAGGACTATGACCAAGGTTGGTTATGTTTTGAAGACTGAGTCAAGGATGAAATATTGTCGGGTCCGGTGACCTTGTGAAGCCTTGAGCAACCACAGACTAGCATAGGTTCAAAGAGCTCGCCAAGAATTGAGGAGATGGGAGTAGACCAAAGAAAAACTTTGTATGTTTCACATCTTTGTGCTGCATTGACTTAGGTAACAAAAGAGGAATAGTAAGAAAGTTTACTTTAAAATTATTTGGGAATTAAGTCATTAAATTGCCTAAAAATGGACTTCTACATTATCAAGTAGAATAAAATTTTACTCTCTAAAATCCTTGGGGAAAAATATTTATCTTTCTAAATATTTGAATTTTTCATGTAGCTGAAGATTAAGTTAACTCTTCAAATGGAGAGAGCTAAGTAGATAAGTAGTACTTTTGTGGCTTACTTTACATTTTCTTTATAAAATTCATTGTAGACGTGCCTGTCCTCCAAAATGATGTACTAGATGTAATAATTTTCCCTGGTGACTCAATACTATCATTACAAAGGCCTACTATCATGATAATTGCAGGCAGTTTTTTTTTTCCAGCTTTATTGAGGTGTAGTTGACCAGACAGCTCTTGACTTTGTTCATTCAATTGTCACCTAGAACATAGTTATAAATGAATGTGATATTAGTAGGTGAAGCCGTCCTCCTCAATCAAGCCCACAGAAAATAAATACTTATAAGTGCTTTTGGTTGAATGAATGAATGAAAAGCAATTAAAGTTGAAAACAGTTTAGTTTTAAGCATTCCACCAATTACATACAGTATTTTCAGAAAGAATGCACCATTACAAGTATTATTAGATTACTTGCAGAAGTGTACTATCCATTTCTATGGACTGGAAGTGTTAAAGATCAGCCCACAGGCATCAACTTTTCTTCTCACACTTAAAGTATCCACATTAAAAAGTGCGTTTTGCATGTTAGGTCACTTCAATCATGTCCGACTCTGTGCAACCCCATGGACTGTTGCCCTCCAGGCTGCTCTGTCCATGGGATTCTCCAGGCAAGAACACTGGGCTGGGTTGCCCTGCCCTTCTCTGGGGAATCTTCCCACCCAGGAATCGAACCCGCATCTCTTTGATTGTAAAATCTTTGGTGTATTTTTATAACAGGAAAGGAAAATTATTTCTTCAGGGATGGGCTGCAGCTTTTGCCAGATGGCCAAAAAAGATGAAGCACTGCTTACAGAGAAAAACAGACCTTTTGTTTAGAAGACACCTACATGGGCTTTTGTAATTCACTGTGAAAAGTAAGGTCTCCAGGCAGTGTTTGGAAGGAAAAGACTGAAAGAAAAGAGCTTAGATTCCTTTTTTAGAGCAAAATAACAGAAGTTTGAAAAATGTCCTCTCATTGGCTAACTTTGATAGTAGAAGGAAATAGGAGATAGGAAAAAGGTATGGAGTAAGGGAGACTGAAGGCTCCAGAATCATGACAGAGGAGGGGGCTTAAGGAAAAAAATAATCAGAAATGCTGAGGAATCTTTAATTATAGTGATGTGTAGGATTCAATTGGAAGTTGTTTCTGCAGTGTGCTGTAATTGCCCTTTGTTACCCTTAAACCCTTGATAAAAACACTATGTACTAATAATATGTTGAATGAAGGAGAAGAGGCAGTTTTCTACACTTGAGATAAACCGTATATAAAATAGCTAGTTGAGGAAATACTGGTTGTAGAAGGTAAGACAATGAACAAGGGTTGAGAGGAGCTAGGAGCAGGGGTTTAAAATCCAGAGCTGACAACAGTGATAGTGGCCCAAGGCGTTGGTTTAGACTGAGTAGCAGAGACTACCTCAGCAGTCTGTGTGACAAGCCCACTGCCTTTTTCAGAAATCAGGAGGAAAGCAGTCCAATGGGGTGAGGAAAGTACTGGAAGGCCTCGCTGTGCTGTGAATAGGGCTCATTGGAAGACAGACCTTTGGGTTAAAATTGTTTAAAAAGAAAATCCCATTACTTTATAACCATAAATTTTTGTCTAATCCTTTAAGCCTAAAAGAGGCTGACAGAAAAAAAATATTACTTCAGCATATTCTTATGAATTCCAAAAAAAAAAGAGTTATGGCTGAGATTGCAAGCTTTCTGCTTTATGGGCTCAGGATCAAACTCAGAGCTATGGTTTTTGAGGTTTGGCCAGTATACAAGATACAGTCTTAGACTCTTTGATGTTTTGAAACACAGTGTGATAAGAGACCAAAGGATGGAAACGTATTGTATGTAAGAGTCCATGCATTCATTTTAAAGGCAGGTGTGCCTTGCAAAAATAGGATGGATACAGTCAATTGTTCAGGTTGAATTAGAAGGCAGCTCCAAAATGCAGAAAACTTCCTACTGTGATAATTTAATCACTGATGATTATTTCTTCCTATGTTAAAAAAATAAAACCAAAACAAGCATTGTAGAATCAGCTTCTCAATAAGCCAGTTTATGGTCCTAAGTTTTTGAAACTTTCTATCCCCTTAAGATCTTTTTCTGTTCCCCAATCCTAATTAAAAAGTGGTCCTTAACCTTGGGTTTTATTACTGTAAAAATAGAGATCATAAAGCCTTTAGACACAAGCTTTGACTGTACTTCATGCATTTAATGATTTGAAATGCTTACTATGCGTGTAGGGCATTGATTTTATTTGCCTTGACTCTGGTTGTTTATTTATTTTTGTACCCAGCTTTAGACAAATGAAGTCAAAGAATGCACAGGTGGGAAAATATCATATTAAATGGACTGAGTGTGTGTGTGTTTGTATATAAACAGCTTTTGAAATAATGTACATGCCATACAATTCACCCGTTTAAGATATACAACTTAATGGTTGGTTGTTTCTTTAACAGGGAAAAAAGGATGTGACCCAGATATTTAACAACATCCTGAGAAGACAGATAGGCACTCGGATTCCTACCGTGGAGTACATTAGTGCTCATCCTCACATCCTGTTTATGCTCCTCAAAGGGTAGGTGCATGCTTCCCTTTAAAGTAGGTTTGAGTTTGGAAAAGTTGTCAAAAGTAGATAGCGTTAGCATCATTTGAGATATGATCAGTTCCCTTTTGGATTAATATTTGCTATGCTTGAAGTCAGTCCTCCAAATCTATGCCTTTGTGATTGTTCAGGCTGCAACAAAATGCTTTCTAAGTAAAATTCCTTCCACCTACTGCCCCTCTTTCCTCCACTTTCCTGTCTTCTCTACCTATTACATTATAGCTTACACTTCCCAATCTGCCCTCTTTCTGGATGCCCACTTACCCTCTTTGCTTCACTAGTGGCTCAGATGGTAAAGAATCTTCCTGCGAGAGACCCAGCTTCAATCCCCAGGTTGGGACGATCCCCTGGAGAAGGGAATGGCTACCCACTGCAGTATTCTTGTCTGGAGAATTCCATGGACAGAAAAGCCTGGTGGGATACAGTCCCCGGGGTTGCTAAGAGTCAAACACAATTGAGCAGTGAACACTTTCACATTCACACTTTACCCTCTTTACATAAGACTGAATCCCCTCATCACACAAATATACACAGACACGGACGCACACATACAGTATCCTTTCAATGGTTAGCTTCTACTCAGGTGACATGCTTCCATGTGGGGATAGAATAAATATCACTGTACGTATATGGGACCACAGGGCAGTTAAAAACCTAAAGTTGAGTCAGATAATCAAATCCCTGATTATGACTTTTTTATGTTTGCTCGTTTACAAAGGTTTCTTGGGCATTGTGAGGCTACTCTAACTCCTACGATCAGAAATATGGATGTAGCAAGGCTTGGGGACAGCAGCCTTTTGTTTTTTGTCTCCCCTTCTCTGTCTTTCTACTTTACCATTTTGAACTTCACATGCTATTCCATACCTAGTCCATCTCATCTGTTTTCAATTCCCAAGTCCTTGTGCATTTTAAAATATTTAATTGTATCAAAATAATATGTGCCACATAGTTTAAAAACCAGATATAGAGACTTCCTTGGTGATCCGGTGGCTAAGACCCCGCCTTCCCAATGCAGGGGGCCCATATTCAATCCCTGGTCAGGGAACTAGATCCCACATGCCACAGCTAAGACCTGGTGCAGCCAAATACATAAGCCGGACATAACAGCAAACAGCAGCTCTTTGCTTCTTCCTTCTCCATTCCTCAGTCCCTTTGACCAAAGACACCCACTTTGAGCTTTTTTATTTGTTCATCTGCTATTTACCTCTATATTATGAATTAGGAGCTTTTACTAAGTTTTGATTTGCCCATTTGAAAACATATCTGTTAAATTTCTCATGGACTAGTTGACAATTCCGTTCTTCCACTGCCACTACTACTCCATCTTCCTTCCCCTCACCCTCCCAATATCCTTTATCACAATTTTTTACTTCATTAAAAAGTCACATTTATATTATTATAGCTATGTAGTGTACTATTACTTTGTTTTTCTGTAGAAAATATTGTTTTTACTGGAGAATTAAGTCTTTAAATTCTGGAAAGGTCAATATACTTATATCATGTATTAAAGTAGTTTAAAATTATAAGAAACCTTAGGCTTTATAACAAATAAACCCCACAATGTACTGGCCCCACTACAAGATAAATGTATTTCTCACATAATAGAGAAGAACAGATGTTCTAGGTCAGCAGGGGTTCCTTCAAAGTGTGCTTCCTAAGATCACTTTGTTGATTGCCAGTTCAGCCCACAGGAAGGCAAACGTACTTGGGAGAATTTATGAGCCAGGCCTGGAAATGGCTTGTGTTACTCCCACTCACATTCCATTTGAGAGCACTTAGTCACTTGGCCTCCTAATTCTTAAGGGAACCTGAGAAATGTAGTTAGCACCCAGGAAGAAGAGGAGAAAGGATTTCTGCAGACAGCTAACATTCTCTGCCTTAGTGTTTCTTTGAAAATTTATTCCCCTGGATGTTCTCTGTCCTTACTTTCTAGACCTCCTGTAAGTCAAAGCAAAATCTCTGAGATTGATTTATTAACTCTTCTGTTTGTGTTTTTGTCTCACTTGTCAGAAGATGTTCTTAATTATATCTTTCATTGAAGATAAACTCAACCGAATTTTCCTTTCATCTACCCTATTTTTAATTTATAAGAACTCGTTTTTGTTCTCTGATTATTCCTTTTTTTAGTCTCTTGCACTTATCTCTGTGACCTTGGGCAAGCCTCTGCAGCTTTCCATCAAGTCTCAGTTTCCTTATCTGTAAAGTAAGAGTAAAATTTGTAATATTACCTTTGCACGAAATAATGTTACACTATATGCATTGTTAGACAGATTTGCATGTCCAGTCAGTCAGGGTTCTGCTATTTACTTGCTAAGACTTTGGGCAAGTTCCCTAACTTCCTTAAGTCTTGATTTCCTCATTGCAATCTGAAGACAATAATAATACCTACTTCACTAGATCATTATGAGTCTTAGGTAGTTTCTGCAGAGTTTAGCACTGAGCACATGGTACTCTACTTGGTAACTACTAGTCTAAAAAATTATTATTACTATCCCTCTTAAGAGCTGCCATTCACACTGAGTAAAATTTTGAACAAATATAATTAAGACCATACATAAGTGTCAGAATAATACTGTAAAGGGAAGTGTTCATTTCCACTTCAGGTAGATCTACAAGATTTAATGGGATATGATCCGCACACCTGGTCATTGGTGGGAAAGGCCGAAATGATCAATTTGTACCCCCATCTGGAGATTCTAAAATGTTCAGCTAAAGCATTTGACATTATCCTGGAGGAAATGGGAAGCCATTGGATTGTTTTGGGAGAAACAGATCAGATTTGTGTTTCAGCAAGTGAAGACAAATTAATAGTCATTTGAAGTTGGCTTGCAGGACGTCCCTGGTGGTCTAGTGGTTAAATTAATCTCTGGATTAAATTAAATCCAGAGATTAAGTTAACTGCAAGTGCAGGGATCCCTCCATGTTCGATCCCTGGTTCGTAAAGATTCCATAGCCATGAAGCAACTAAGTCCGTGCAGCACAGCTGCTGAGCCTGCACGCCCTGGAGCCCAAGCTCCACAGCCGGGGAAGCCACTGCAGTGAGAAGCCTGAGCATTGCGGACAGAGAGTAGCCCGTGCCTGCCGCGACTGGAGAACGCCCAGGCACAGCGATGAAGACCCAGTGCAGCCAAAAATAAATAAATTCTTTTAAGTTCCTCTCCTTTAAAAAAAATAAAATGGGGTTAGCTTGTAAATAAGTGATCCCTTGACAATGCTGAAATGTTTTGTCCTCCTAAAAATGTGTTGGAGAGCACGTCAGCTGATGTGGAAGAGAAGTGGTGTGGATGGTTTAAAATGGTATCTTCCAAAAAAAACAAAAAACAAAAACAGTATCTTCCACAGTGAGGTCATTATGTGAAAGGAGACATGCAACTCCACGAACTGCATTCTCGGAGTGGGAATTATTTGTTTGGAGGAGCTCCTTTCTGTAGTTGCTGTCACTGAGTAGCAGTCAGATGATGGCGACTGCCTTGTATTTATTTTGTGAAAGAGCTGCACCAGATACAAGTGGCTCTGCTAAAGACGTGGGTTTAGTGTCTTCTTACCAAGGAAGTTATAAACACATGAAAGTTACTATTGTTGAGCTTTAAGAATTCAGATTAATGAAGAGGAGGGGACTTCGTGGACTTGGTGGTCTAGTGGCAAAGTCTCCACACTCTCGATGTGCCAGGTTTGATGCCCGGGTTTGATCCCTGGTCAGGGAATTAGATCCCACATGTTGCAACTAAGGAGTCCATGTGTGCGTGTGCATGCTAAGTCCTTCTGTCGTGTCCTGACTCTTTGCGACCCCATGGACTGTATGCCCTCCAGGCTCCTCTGTCCATGGGATTCTCCTGATCCTGCATGTTGCAACAAAGATCAAGGATCCCACATGCCACAACTAAGACCCAGCACAGCCAAATAACTAAAAAATTTATTATTTTTAAAACTTCAAACATTTTAGAAATCTATAACATAGAAAGGGAGTGTATACCCTATTCCCTCCCAAAGAAACAATTACCAACAATTTGGTGATGAGTTCTCAAGTTTTTGTCTCTATTATAATGATTCTTCCTTTATTTTATAACCCAAACTTTAAACTCATTCCTTCACATCCTGCTTTATAGATACCATTTATAGAGTGTTTGCTATGTGCCAGGTATTACATTCAGTGTCTTTACTTATGCTGTTTCATTTAATCCTTCTATCAATACTCTGAGGACTAGGTATTATCCTCACCAATTTACAGATGAGGAAATTGAAACTTAGAGTAAGGCTATTGCTCAAGGTTATATATGCAGCTGAGTGACAGCCAATTTTTCAGTCCAGATCTGATTCTAAATTCCGTCTTAACCATTAATACATCCTTAAAAAGACTTGAAGCCCTTCATATAGGAAGGGAGAGGGAATTATAGAAGACCCTGGGGACACAGTAGACAAAAAGAAGCCTTAAATGGAACCACTGTGTCTGAATCAACTTTCCCCATTACCATTTTCTAGGTTAGCTTGAAATGCTGGAAGTTTAGCTAGCCATTTGGTAAAGGTCAGCATTTTTACTGAATTATCTCTTGTAAAGTTGCTTGAAAACTTAGAACATAACTTGACTGGTGCACTCATAAAACAAACAATGATGTTATATAGGGATATGGTAGTAACATGCTATATTGGACCTAAGTTTAACCATAAAGAATGTAAGACAGAAAGAAGTTGATTCTTTTCTATCAAGGAGAATCATTTGGATATGGGATACAAAACTTGGCAAAAGGATTTGGAGCCCAAAGTTTATGAAAAGATTATTTAAAAGGACTTTCTCACTTTAGACGAACTTTTCTCTTGGCCCATGTAAATGACATTCCAGGATACTGAGAGAATTTGAGAATGAGGTTGCTAAACTGCTCTCAGTGATCCATAAAGAACCACTGCCAGTGGAAGATCTTCCAAGTCCAATATTAAAATAATAACTTTCTCCTAATAGTCTTACTTTTAAAAATTTTATTGCAAAACTTTTTTCTACCATATACAAAAGACAGAACAAAGAAATCCCATGTCCCAACCTTCATAACCATTGGTATTTTGCTGTGTTTATTTTATCTTCCCAACACCCCTCCCTTATTTATTTATTTTTTTTTTGTAGTATCATTATGAACTACTGGACTTAGTGTGTTTTCATACATCTTATATAATTGTACTTTTAATCAAGCATCAACTTTTTAAAGTACATCTATATAAGATGTATAGAAAAACACTAGGAAAAGTTTTATAAATTATCTTTCAGCAAGCACTTGGCCTCCTCAATATAATCAAGAAGTTTTGCTTCTAATCTAGAAACGTGCTTACTTTAAAAATAGCAAGCTAACACTGTCCATTGAAAAGGCCTAGAAGCAGTAATGACCCAATGTTAATGAGTATCCCTAGCATTCAGATTGTAGTTTCTAATAACCATTTCTAACTAAAAGGAGCCAGAGTCCTTTGTAGAAATGGCTAATTCCAGGTCTGTGTTAGGAAATGTACTGGATGGCCAGAAAGCAAGGAAATGTTCACAAACTAATGGGAGTGATATCAAAAGGACATGGGTCATCTTGAAAAGGCTACTTTTGTTTTGATGCTTTTCCTAGTGCTGGCTGCCCTTGTTTCTTCTATCAAGAGCGACAAAAGTCATTTTTCTCCTTACATAATATAATCTGCATTCTTAAACTGAGATATTCTTGCACAGGATCTTTCTTCAGATCATTTTATGTGTAATATTTATTGTAGCTCACCACCAGATGAGATAAGTGCTCTTCTACTTTGGCTTTTATTAAATTTGAAACAGGTCTTCTGTGCTATTATTTGAGTAAGCATGCATATAAAATAGTGTGCCTTCTCCACACTCACACAGTTAACTATACAGTCCAGACTTCCCATGTGGTTTCCCAGATAGCTCAGTGGTAAAGAACCTGCCTGCCAATGCAGGAGATGCAGGAGACTCGAGTTCAATCCCTGGGGTCAGGAAGATCCCCTGGAGTAGGAAATGGCACCCGATTCCAGTATTCTTACCTGGAAAATTCCATGGAGAGAGGAGCCTCGTGGGCTACCATCCATGGGGTTGCAAAGAATCGGATATGTCTGAGTGACTGAGCGTGCATGTGTGCATTTGATCTAAACAGCAAATCAGAAGGAAGATATGGTTCAGTTCTGTAAAATAATGATTTACATTCATTGGAATAACTTTTATCAGCAACTTGCCACTAAGTTAGCTGTTGTGGAGAGCATAGTGGTTTGCCATGGTCCTTGCCTTTGAGACCCTTATCCACAAGTAGAATAAAATAGATGAGGTAAATATTGATTCTTTACCAAACCTAAGGATATGAATGTTCTTGGGGTTTGAAACTTAAGGTGCTTAACTCATGGAGCACTTCTTTATATAGCAAGCAATAAGCTATCAAAAGTCAGTATCCTGGAGGATAGTTAGGTTGAAACATGTGAATTACAAGTTCCTTAAAGGGTACTGAGGAAAATTAGGAATTTCTTTATATATCCCAATATACTCCTAACTTTAAGAAGTTGTCAGTTCAGAGGAATGACCGTTCCACTCTTGGGCACAGACTACTAGAATGGAATGACCAATGTTCTGACCCAGAGTAGCATTTTTAAAAATACTCTCTTGGTTTTCAAGAATAAATAGTCTGTGCATCACAGATGGTTCCAATAAACTTCACCTAATGAAACAAAAAGAAAGGAACTATACACGAAAGTTGTGAGTAGAAACTTTTTTTTTTATAGTTTCCGTTTGACGAATTAAGAAATGAGAATGGCTAGAGATCATACAGTTTTTTCTATAAGCCAAAGTTTGTGTCTCATTAGAGAACCCTAGTATTAAGTTTAATCAGAGTTTGAAGTTTACTAAATTCTTTATACACCTTTGTGAAAGACATTATACTAAGCACTCTTTGGAGACTAGGCTAAGGATAGAGGCAGGTACCAGTAAATAAGACACAGATACCACATGGAGATTCATAAAGAGGAGGAGAGAAAGTAATAGGATGAGTAAAGCGTATCCTGAGCAATTAAGCTGTTTGTGAGAAGGTAAAGAAAACAAATGAATAAAAATTTATTGCAATGGGCCATACTGAAGAATGAGAAATGTGTTAAAGTGGAATTACAGACAAGCTATTGGAGGAGTCTGAAGGAGGGGAGGGTGACTCTGAATGGTAGGTGATTGGAAACACTTCAAGGAGGAGGTGGCATTTGAACTAAGTTCTGAAAAATGAGAGAGAATCTTAGAGGTGAAAACTTATGGAGCAGGGCATTCTAGGTTGAGAGAAGGCCTTACCTCAAAGAATTAAAGAAGGTGATGCGAGATGAAATTGAAAGGTTAAGTTTAAAAAAAAAAAAAAGGTTAAGTTTAAAGCAAAATTATGAATGTCCATAAATAACTTACTAATAAGTCTGGATTTTAATTGTGTGCCCCTTAACATTTTTAGAGAAAACAGTCTTCTTTTCTTTTTTAATCATTTCTTCAGTGCTCTATTAGTAAAAGACTGTTCTTCTCCTTCACATTTCAGAAAATGTACCCCTCTTTATGACATCTTTAATAAAACCTAACTTATTACTCTTCCATGCATGCCAATAGGCTGATTTTCAAATTCTTCTGATAAGAGAAATTGCTAATACTATAAACTGGCATTTTTTAATATTCTACAAAGAATTGTACCTATCTGAATATATTAGCATTTAATGTTAACATGAGTTTTTCAGGGACTATTCAGATGATATTTGTGAATATTATTCCACATAAAAATGGAACAAAATGAATAAATACCACCCTGGTTTAGTGACTTCTCTCAGATACCTTTCTTTGCTGTTTTCCGTACTATAATTATAAATGTGAAGTTGCCAAGTAGCCTGTTTCCTAAATTGTGGGAAAGAGATTTTATTCTCGAATCTGAAGTTCATGTAAATATTCTTTTGTTATTCTTGAATCCTCAATTCCCCTCAGCCCAAATTTATTCCTCAACCTACCCCAACCTCTAAAGCTCTGCTGAGTCTTCCTCTGAACAACATCCATGGCCTGCCCACAGTCCTCCGTTCTACTAGCACCGCCCAAGCCAAGCCGCCGTCGTCTCTAGCGGGGCTGCTGTTCCTCCTCACTAGCTAGCCTCCCTGATTGCCCTTTAGCTCTGCAGCCCATTCTTTCCTGTTTTACAGAAGCCTCCACAGGGAGCCAGAGTGATCATTTTTAAAGTTTCTGATCAGCCATGTTAATTGCTTACATTAAACTCTCCAAAGGCTTCCCACCACACTTACCTTGGCTTTCAGAGCTACTGGTTCTTTCCTTGGACCCTTTGCACTTTTAGTTCCTTTTCCTGGAATGCTTTTCTCCTTCCAGGACCACTTAGTCTAAAGTAAAACAAATTAAGGAGTCACACCCTCTAGCATACCTATTTTATTTTCTTCAGTTTCATAGCCCTGAAGTATATGAAATTATCTGGTCATTGTTTATAGTCCACTTCCTCTCCCACCAGACGCATTTTCACTAAATTGTGAATGCTAGGAAGCAGTGACCTTGTCTGCTGACTGTTGTATCCCCAACAAAAGATACTGTTGTATCTTTTCTAATCCTTTCCAAGATTTCTTTTTTTTTTTCCCCAAGATTTCTTTGTGTCGAACTGTCAACATTTGATATCGCTTCAGATGCCTTTGCTATTTTTAAGGTATCCCCAGCTATTTTAAGGTGTCCCCAGCATCTGAAATCCCACTCCAGTACTCTTGCCTGGAAAATTCCATGGATGGAGGAGCCTGGTAGGCTGCGGTCCACGGGGTCACTAAGAGTCAGACACAACTGAGCGACTTCACTTTCACTTTTCACTTTCATGCACTGGAGGAGGAAATGGCAACCCACTCCAGTGTTCTTGCCTGGAGAATCCCAGGGACGGAGGAGCCTGGTGGGCTGCCGTCTATGGGGTCACACAGAGTCGGAGACTACTGGAGTGACTTAGCAGCAGCAGCTGCAGCATCTGAAATAGTGCCAGGCACATTGTAGGTATTTAGTGGGTATTCAGTGAGTGGTGTTTGAATGAACTGTGACAAATGGTACCTGTGCTTCCATTAACAGCAGTATTGAAATGGTTCTTTTGATACATAGTTCTCTCTTTCTCTCTTATTTGTGCTTTAGCTATGAAGTCCCACAGATCGCCTTACGTTGTGGTATTATGCTGAGAGAATGTATTCGACATGAACCACTTGCCAAAATCATCCTCTTTTCTAATCAATTCCAAGATTTCTTTAAGTATGTCGAACTGTCAACATTTGATATTGCTTCAGATGCCTTTGCTACCTTTAAGGTAATTCCCTGCCCCTCCCCCCCCCCCCCCCCCCCCCCCAGCCAGAATCAGCAGGGTTATTTAGTTTCAGTACTTAAGTCACTTGGCTCTAAGAGGCAGTTTGATTTTACAAAGCAGAAAATTGTATTTCTTAGACCGGAGCATAGCCAACCATGTATGATGTGGATCATAAGAGAATTCAGTAAACAGAACACAATCTACTAGACCCGTCTGTCACATTGTAGAAAGGGCAAGTCAGCATGCTTGTCATGGGGCTTCCCTGGTGGGCTAGTGATTAACAACCCACCTTGCAATGCTGGGGACTCTGGTTCAACCTCTGGTTGGGGACAATCCCACATGACATGAGGCAACTGGGCACATAAAAAGTCTCACCTGGCCAAACAACAGTTGTACAGTGGCTACAGGTGAAGCCCCCAAGAGTGTATCCTAGAACACATGATAGGAGGGGCCTTGGTGCGTCAAATACGAAGAAGGACATTTAACACAAAGGACCATTCCATTTCTTTCTAGCAAATATCTGTGCCGAAACAATTAAGAAGGTGTTCTCTATTAGTAAATACTGTAGTGCCATTTTTCCCCCCTTTTCTATTTGATGACCCTTTGCCATCATGGAAACAAGTTAGTTCCTTTTTTGAAAAACCATAGATAAGACTTCACAAATAGCGGTATACCTACAGCAGCTCTAATGAAGGGGAAAAGAGCAAATTCAATTCAGCATTTATTTATGAAAATTTCCCCAAAGATTTTTCAACATTTAATAGAATAAACAAATGTGATAATAATGTCTTGACATCATGTGATCAACCCAATTTAATTTTCAACACAATATTGAAGCACAAAGATAAATTAGGACAGTTTGTACTTGAGCATATTTTTTGTTGAACTTAAGTCCCCGAGAATCTAAATAACCTTAAAAAAACTTTCCTAGTATGCTACTGATATTAAAAATGCCAATTTTCTACATTTTACCAAAATTCTGTGGTCAATAGAATGTGATGAATGCAAGTCACTTTTTAAAAATCAATTTATTTATTTTTGGCTCCTGTGTCTTCATTGCTGTTTGTGCAGGCTTTCTGTAGTTGCAGCTAGTGGGGGCTAGTCTTACTTGTGGTATGAGGGCTTCTCACTGGAGTGGCTTCTCTTGTTGAGGAGCACAGTTTCTAGAGCACAGGCTCAGTAGTCGTGGCACACAGGCTTAGTTACTCCGAGGCATATGGGATCTTCCTGGACCAGGGATCGAACCCATGTCCCCTGCATTGGCAGGCAGATTCTTATCCACTAGGCCACTAAGTCCCACTTTTTTTTTAAGTAACTGCTTTCAAAGGGACTTGTTTGCTTGACTGGTTGGCTGGTTTGGGCTTTTGTTTTTAACTTCTTAGGTTTAGCCTTTTTTTTTGACCTGTAGGATGACTGTTTTTCAGTTTAATTATTGATGTTTTAACATTATTGGATTATATTTTTTCATGGTATTGTCTGCAAATTTCCCATTCCCCAAGAAGATTCCTTACAACCACAGTCTCTTCCATGTCCCACCCCCCTAAGAACTGACATGCTGAAAAGTGGTTTGAATTCCATCTCTGTCTGCACCTGATTTGCTGTACATCCTTGAGCAAGTTAGCTAACCCTTGGGCCTCATTTTCTTCATCTGTGAGATGAGGAACATAATCCCCATCTTTGCAGAGTTGTGCAGATTAGAAAGCACACTCTCCAGCACTAGGTAAACCCTCTGTCAGTGCAGCTGCTGCTAGCTGCTGTGGTCTTGGGTTCCTGCCATGGAATGTGTGTCTCTGTCATTTCACCCCAAATTCTTCCAGGCTGTACAGAATTCACTAAAATACCGATATCAATAATTTTTAGCATAAAACTTAGACTGTGCGGAAGCTAGTCCTGTCAAAACAGAATTGTTAGGAGGTGGGATGAAAGAGTACATTATTTTGAATACTTTTTAAATTTTTAAAAATTTGAATTTTAGTTTTCTTGCCAATTTCCTGGCTTTTTTCTTTTTTGGGGGATCCTAGCTATTTTTTTTCCCACTCAGTTCTTTGGTCTTTAATAATGCAACAACTGTATTTGTCTATTGTATATACATACACAACTATATATTGTGTATATATACACATGTGTATATATATACACAGACACACATATATAAGATATTATAGAAAAATCCAAGTGAATGTTTTGGCCACCCTATATATGTATATGGGGGCTTCCCAGGTGGTGCTAGTGGTAAAGTATCCACCTGCCAATGCAGTAGAGGTAAGAGACACAGGTTTGATTCCTGGGTCGGGAAGATCCCCTGGAGGAGGGCATGGCAACCCACTCCAGTATTCTTGCCTGGAGAATCCCATGGGCAGAGGAGCCAGGCAGGCTGCAGGTCCCAGTCCATGAGGTCACACGGAGTTGGACACAACCGAAGCGACTTAGCACACATATATGTATATGGGGCTTCCCTGGTGACTCAGACGGTAAAGAATCTGCCTGCTACGCAGGAGACCTGGGTTCAATCCCTGGGGTGGGAAGATCCCCTGGATATGGTACAGTCCCTCCAGTTTTGTGCTTGCATTATTATGTGTATAAATTTGAGGGTATATCTATGTGTATATAATGTGTACACACTCACTTATTGTCTCTATCCACACACATATGTGCTGGAGGAATTTTCCCCTACCCTATTATATATTCTATTGTTGGATTTTAAAGTTATTTTTTCCCTTAGAATTTGAAGGAGCTGCTACTTACAGAACCCCTCCTTATTCCTCTTTCTTTGGTGTAACACTGATGTAGGGTGAAGGGAAGACCTTCGCAGACAGCACTTATCTGCCAGGTACCTTTCTGGTGTCACCATCGTTGCAGGTATAGGGCCTGAGGCCATGGCAGATTGTGATCCTTGTACTCAAGGCTGATGCCTGGCATCATAGATGCAGAGCTCCATGGGTGCAGCCATCCGGAGTGCCTGTTGCAGCCCATGCAGAGACCCTTCTAACCTGAGTCAGCTCAGAAAACCACTAGTAATGCTCAGGAGATTGGGGATGGGAAAACTGGGCATTCCAAATATCCACTTAGAAAAAGACCAGGGACCCCAAAAGGATGCTATGGAACGAGGGTGCCCCTGATATAGCAGCTAGTTTGCATTTTGACTGGGATGAATTCCTAAGAGGGTTTTCCCATTTTAAAATCCCAGTTCCAGAACTGTACTGTTACGTTCTCCTGGGGAAATAAGCACCTGTTTCCATTGATAGGTCCATTGGTCAAACAGGTTGTGATGATAAGTAATAGGAAATGAAGTTAATAGCCAGTTTCATTATTTGGGGGCTTGAAAATTGTAGTGCAAACTGATGAGGACCTACCGTATATCACAGGGAACTCTACTCAATACTCGGTAATGACCTATGTGGGAAAAGAATCAGAGAGTGGATATATGCGAACTGATTCACTTTGCTATAGAGCAGAAACACAAGATTGTAAATCAATTATATGCCAATAAAAATTTTAAAAAAGAAAACAGAAAACGGTAGTGCAAAGTACTTTAAATATTTAACCTTTTATTGAAATAAAAATAAGTGAGTTTTACAACCCAGAACTCAGTGGCAGCCTGGAGGGGTGGGATGGGATGGGAAAACAGGAGAGAGGGGACATATGTATACCTGTGACTGATTCATAATGATATATGGCAGAAACCAGCACAATATTGTAAACCCATTATCCTCCAATTAAAAAAATTCTTTTAAAAAAAAGTGAGTTTTACCATTGTGGCTGCCTTCGTTTTCTCTGTGAGGTTATGTTGTGTATCTTGTATATACTTTTAATTAAATTAGAAGTTTAAATTAAATATGTATTAAAGCATAAGGATTTATTTTGGAAAACTTGAAAATTCATGTTGTTTTTAATTAAATTCTGCATAGTACTAGGCAAGGCATTTAGCCTTTAAGCGTATTAAGAGGATTAGCTGGGGTTTGTTTTCTTTTGACATCAAGGTGACTTAAGGTTATAATTTAGGTGTGAATTTTTAATCAAATGTTCTTTTTTGCTTTTGTTCAGTTTCCTGGGAGTTATGTCTATAATTAGATCAGGCTACTTGTCCTCAACTTTGAAAGGGTGCATTGTGCTACTTAGTAACTGCACGACACTTCACAGCCCACTAAACCAAGGCAGGGCCAGTACAATGCTGAGATAAATGTCATTCTTGTGGGACTTCCCTGGCGGTCCAGTGGCTGAGCCTCCATGCTCCCAGTGCAGGGCCCAGATTCCATCCCCGGTCAGGGAAATAGATCCCACATGCCGTAACTAAGAGTTTGAATGCTGCAACTAGAGATCCCACATGCCGCAACTAAGACCCAGTGCAGCCAAATAAATAAGTAAAATAAATATAGTTTTTTAAATGTCGTTCTTGTGCTTCCGAGAATCCTAGGCACCTCCATTTCAAAAGTGACTAAGCAGAAAACTAAAGATCAGTCATTGAAAATCTGTTACCTTGTGAGATATGGTTTTAGTCCGTTCAGAGTTTTTTGTTTTTAATAGTTATTAATGACATTTTTAAAAGATCATCATAAGCTTTATTTGAATATTTATTGTATCATATTTACAATGTAGAGTTATGGGCTTGAAGAAATATAATGTAAGCTTGTCTCTTTGGTGACATTTGTTTCGCTAGTTAAATTATTTCTATAATCTAACAATGACATGCATTTAAAGCACTCTTTGTTGTTTTTAGTGTGAAACAAATTGTATTTCACATCTTAAATGAAGAAACGGAAATAATTCTGGGATGTAAATGAAAATATTCTGAAATTGTTATTCTTCAAATTAATTGACTTAGAAAGTCTTAGAAGAAAAGGACAGATTTGTAAAATTTATTACCTATAATAATTTTGTTTCATTGACTATTCTTTTTCTAGGATTTACTGACCAGACATAAAGTGTTGGTAGCAGACTTCTTAGAACAAAATTATGACACTGTAAGTAGAGGTCATTGTTAAGTCTTTATCTCATTCTTCCTCTCTCTCTCTCTCCTTCTTAGATCTCTTAGCACTTCTATTTATGAGAGAAGTTGAAACCAACCATCCACCTGCTTGGTTTATTACCCAGAAGTCAGATCATTAAGAAACTATGAAAAATAAAGGATAGCAGGAGATCAGGGTGTCCTTGTTTTTCTTATCTCTTCCTGTTGTGCTCTGTAGCTCCAGGAAATAACTAGCACCAGCTCACTTTGACCTTGACTTAAGAGCATCCGTATTGCCCTTAAAGAGGCAGTGTATATGTATGTCGTGTCCAACTCTGTGCGACCCCATGGACTGTAGCCCACCAGGCTCCTCTCTCCATGGGAGTCTCCAGGCAGTAATACTGGAGTGGGTTGTCATTTCCTTCTCCAGGGGATCTTCCCACCCAGGGCTCGAACCCATGTCTCTTACGTCTCCTGCATTGTCAGGCAGGTTCTTTACCACTTGTGCCACCTGGGAAAACCCAGAATACTGGAGTGGGTTGCCATTCACTTCTCCAGAGGAATCTTCCTGACCCAAGGATTGAACCCAGGTCTCCTGCATTGAACCAGATACTTTACCATCTAAGCCATATAGGGTACCCCACCCTTAATAAAATGAATCGTTTTACATGGTTGATAACTAGTTTCACTGACTAGTAGAAATACCAAAATATACATCTGTCTTCCAGCTCCCTTCTCTAAGGGTGAATTCATCTCATCCTTTTGATAATCAGCTATCATTGTGACTGAACCAAACTCACCGGCATGCAGCAAAGCCAGTCTGCTGACACTGGGTTGTGGTGACAGAAAGTCCAGCATTTACTGCAAGGCAATAAATGCCCCACACTCCAAGAAGTGTGGGGCATCTAATGCTCAAAAGACTCAAATCCCGAATAGTTTTCCAGGAACGGGTGAGGGTTGTGAGTGGACTGTCTTCTGACTGGTTGATAGTAAAGTGACAAGCTGGTATATCAGGGGTTAACATCATCAACCCCTTCGTTTCAACCAGTATGAGGTCTCCATATTTGTGGTAGCATACAGTTAACTTCTTCCACCTGGTGGGAATTTCAGTCTCTCTTAAACAACTCAAGGGTATGGCTCAGGATATTATCTATAGACTTTATGGAGGAACTAAAGATCCCTGACTTTGTTTTTGGCTAAACTATTACTGTTTTGTCTTGCTTGACTGTTGTCCTTTGTTTCTGTATTTTCTCACTTCTCTGATTAAATTTGCTCTTTGGTACCCAGGCCTTGGAGGGTAAACCTTTTCTAGAAATAAGAAGTGGGAGACTCGGGAGGGTACATCCCTGGGAATGCCCTCAGGGTCCTGCTTGGTTCCATCCTGTGACTCTTCTAGGAAACTTTTCCTAACATATACCCTAACCCCCTCACCCCCAAACACACACACATACACACTCTCTCTCTCTCTCTCTCTCTCCCTCTCCCATTCTCCTTCTTTCTCACACATTTTCCACATTGTATAATATTATTATGGTGTGTCTTTATATCTTTCTGTCTGGTTCATAAGCTCCCTGGGAGGCAGGAACCTTATCTGTCAAACACAGGGGTTCAGAATGAAGTACAGATTTATGTCCAGTTGCTTTGCTTTAGAATCCTGCTGTATCTCTTACTAATTATATGACTCTGAACAAGTTACTTTGCCTACCAAAAAATGAGGATATTAATAACAGCTACTTCATAGGGTTGTTGTAGGAATTTGACAAGATTTAAGGTTTTCGGGATAGTACCATGGATTAATTTTTATCATGATTACTTGCATCCCTAATACCTAACTCAGTACCATATTTTTGGTGGTGTTAAATGAAGATCGAGTAAACAGACCCAACCAAGAGCTGCTATGCTTTTGCTAAGTGTATCAGCAATAGAAACAGCATTCAGTTCAGTTCAGGTCAGTTCAGTCTCTCAGTCGTGTCCGACTTTGCGACCCCATGAACCGCAGTACACCAGGCCTCCCTGTCCATCACCAACTGCCGGAGTCCACCCAAACCCATGTCCATTGAGTTGGTGATACCATCCAGCCATCTCATCCCCTGTCATCCCCTTCTCCTCCTGCCCTCAATCTTTCTCAGCATAGGGTCTTTTCAAATGAGTCATCTCTTCACATCAGGTGGCCAAAGTATTGGAGTTTCAGCTTCAACATCAGTCCTTCCAATGAACACCCAGGACTGATCTCCTTTAGGATGGACTGGTTGGATCTCCTTGCAGTTCAAGGGACTCTCAAAAGTCTTCTCCAACACCACAGTTCAAAAGCATCAATTCTTCAGTACTCAGCTTTCTTTGTAGTCCAACTCTGACATCCATACATGACTTCTGGAAAAACCATAGCCTTGACTAGATGGACCTTTGTTGACAAAGTAATGTCTCTGCTTTTTAATATGCTCTCTGGGTTGGTCATAACTTTCCTTCCAAGGAGTAAGTGTCTTTTAATTTCATGGCTGCAATCACCATCTGCTGTGATTTTGGAGTCCAAAAAAATAGAGTCAGCTACTGTTTCCACTGTTTCCTTGTCTATTTGCCATGAATTAAAGTAAAACATAGCAAAACCTTAGAGACAAAACTTTACATGGTTTGTTGCAGTGTTTAGCTACTCTAGACCAGTACTGTCCAGATGAAATATAATGCAAGCCACTGTGTAATTTAAAATTTTGTAGTTAGCCACACAAAAAGATAAAAGGAAACAGATGACTCTGCGAAGCTATGGAATACCCTACCCATATCCTGTCATACATCCAAATCATAGAAATTAAACTATGGCTTTCTTCTTCATAAATTGTTTGCTGCTTTTCCTTTGAGATTAAGAATTATCAATGTAATCATGAAATCAAAAGTGATTTTCATATCCTAAAATTATCAAGAGAAAATCCATGGAATCAATTGGAGAACTTTGATCAAAGTGTAAAATATGAAGGGAGGAAAAGATTACTGTCAGATGTATCCAAAAGCTTCAAGACTAAAAGAGACTCATATATGTTTGAATTTAGGGAACAGACTGTTACTATAGTTTGTTCAGTAACTGTACATGCTGGATGGAATGTTAAAGACTCATTGTTGTTCAGTCACTAAGTAATGTCCAACTCATTGTGACCTCATAGACTGCAGCACTGGAGAAGGCAATGGCACCCCACTCCAGTACTCTTGCCTGGGAAATCCCGTGGACGGAGGAGTCTGGTGGGCTACAGTCCGTGGGGTCTCGAGGAGTCGAACACAACTGAGCGACTTCACTTTCACTTTTCACTTTCATGAATTGGAGAAGGAAATGGCAACCCACTCCAGTGTCCTTGCCTGGAGAATCCCAGGGATGGGGGAGCCTGGTGGGCTGCCATCTATGGGGTCACAGAGTCGGACACAACTGATGCGACTTAGCAGCAGCAGCAGCAGCAGACTGCAGCACAGCAGGCTTCCCTGTTCTTCACTATGGAGATAGTGCATAGTCTTCTCAAATTCATTAGATGTAATATTTATAATAAATGAAAATAAGAAGACAAAGATAGCTTATGACAAACCTGTGTATCAACTCCTCATCTTTTCTATAGAATGAGTGAAATAATGTATTGTGCAATTTGCGCTCAAGGATAATAAGCAGCAATTTGAGAGACCATAAGCTCATTCTCTTTGACCCTTATTTACCTAAATTTGTCTTTATAGTCACATCTTGTGTAATTTAGTAGCCTTACAGATACTGAGCCTACTGCACTGACCTGAACATTGGCTTTAAGAACTCATGCTCCTTAAACATTTCATACTTGTTGAGTTTCTTATTTCTTTAGTAGTAAACCTGAAGCTGGAGAACATGATATATGACCTAAAATAATGAAACTGGTAGACTAGGGAGTCAATAATACCTTATATGCATGTATTTACATTTTTTGGTTACAAGTAAAATTTACCATGATGTTTGTCTGATACATTTAGTGACCCACAAAATCCTTCTTGTGTTCCATGACAATCAAAATAAATAAGTCCTTCAAGTAAAAGAAAAAAAATCACTGTGACTTTAACATGAGCTCCATGATTTTGTTTTCTCAGTTTCTGCATTCTCTCTTGGGCATTCTCATCAGTGAGCACAGCTTGTCCTCATCACTCGTACCTGGCATTTGGTCTTCCAAGGACCCTTTGCTTCCCTCCCCAGCCCCTAAACTCTCTTGCCTTCAGTTCTCTGCCAGGCTTGCCCCCCCAACCTAAGTGGCCTCTGAGTGTGCCTATGTGTGACCAGAGGTTGACACTGAACTTTCCCAGCTGCTGGCACTCTGTTCAACTGAAGGGCCTAGACTGTGTTTGATGACCAATCACACTAGGAAACGGGCCCCTATCACCAGCATCTCCCGGCTTCTGGGGAGTGTGGAAGTGCGCCAGAGAGGACAGTTGGGATTCACATGGCCAGCATGTAGCAGAAGTGGCCCTATTCCTCTACCTGTTCATGCTGTGAATTTGCCAGTTTGATTCTTTAAGAGTTGCTAAGTATCTTCAATCTCTTCTCAAATTCAGTTCAGTTCAATCGCTCAGTCATGTCCAACTCTTCAAATCCCATGAACCACAGCATGCCACGCCTCATTGTGCATCACCAACTCCCAGAGTCCACCCAAACCCATGTCCATTGAGTTGGTGATGCCATCCAACCATCTCAACCTCTGTCGTCCCCTTCTCCTCCTGCCCTCAATCTTTCCCAGCATCAGGGTCTTTTCAAATGAGTCAGCTCTTCGCATCAGGTGGCCAAAGTATTGGAGTTTCAGCTTCAGCATCAGTCCTTCCAATGAATATTCAGGACTGATTTCCTTTAGGATGGACTGGTGGGATCTCCTTGCAATCCAAGGGACTCTCAAGAGTCTTCTCCAACACTACAGTTCAAAAGCATCAATTCTTCAGCACTCAGCTTTCTTTATAGTCCAACTCTTACATCCATACATGACTACTGGAAAAAACCATAGCCTTGACTAGACGGACCTTTGTTGACAAAATAATGTCTCTGCTTTTCAATATGCTCTCCAGGTTGGTTGTAACACTCCTTCCAAGGAGTAAGCATCTTTTAATTTCATGGCTGCAATCACCATCTGCAGTGATTTTGGAGCCCCCCAAAATAAAGTTAGCCACTGTTTCCACTTTTCACCCATCTATTTGCCAGGAATTGATGAGACCGGATGCCATGATCTTAGTTTTCTGAGTGTTGAGCTTTAAGTCAACTTTTTCACTCTCCTCTTTCACTTTCATCAAGAGGCTCTTTAGTTTTTCTTCACTTTGTCAAATTATCCAAAGACTAATAGCTACCAGCAAGCCTGCATAAGCACATTTCTTTAAAATGGCATAAAATGAGTTATCCTGCAGCTCATTAGATGAGTTAATAGATGCTTTCTTCAGGACTTGCCTGGTGGTCTAGAGTTAAGAATCCACCTGCCCATGCAGGCAATGTGGGTTCCATCCCTGGTTCGGGAAGATCCCACATGCTGAGGAGCAGTCAAGCCCGTGTGCCAACACTACTGAGCCCATGCACAGTAACAGAGACCCAGCACAGCCAAAATAAGACAGAATAGGTGTTTTAGTCAAAGTGATTTATTGGGAGGACTCAATTACTCCATTTTTCTACTCAATTTCCAATTTGCAGAACTAAAATAAAACAGAGGGAAGCATGTCTGTGGTATCACCGCCCTCCTCGTCCCCCAGTTATCTCTGTGAGTAAGTGAGGATGGAGAAGCAGGGAAGCCTCCCCATGGACAAAGGCAGTCCACCCAGAGATACACAGCACAACCTCTGGGCTGGGCTGAAGGACTGGGGATTTACTTCTGAGGCAAACAGACTTAATCACTTAATTAACAGAGAAATCACTGCTGGGTTTACATTCTTAATATTTCTTTTTTTTCTTTTCATTAGATTTTTGAAGACTATGAGAAACTGCTTCAGTCTGAGAATTATGTGACTAAGAGACAATCTTTGAAGGTAATGTCAAATTTCTTTAAGTTAGAGTCTCCAGAAGTTGACATTCTTGTTCGTAAATGACTGGTTTAATAGTGGACAAGTAGAAACTTCTCTGGTGGTCCCGTGGTTAGGACTCTGAACTTCCACTGCAGGAGTCATGTGTTTGATCTCCGGTCAGGGAACTAAGAGCCCTCAAGCCATTCAGCACCACCAAAAAACAAACCAAAAAGTAGTGGGCAAGTAAATACAGAAAAATTATTCTCCTTTTTTGTAACTTGAGAAGTATTTTCTATGTTATGACCGTGTGTGTTAGTCACTCAGTCATGTCCGACTCTTTGTGACCCCATGTAGCCCGCCAGGCTCCTCTGTCCATGGAATTCTCCAGCAAGAATACTGGAGTGGGTTGCCATTTCTTTCTCCATGGGATCTTCACTCAGAGATGGAACCTGGATCTCCTGTATTGCAGGTGGATTCTTTACCATCTGAGCCACCAGGGAAGCACATGTTATGACAGTACTTTATAGCAAAACAAGCTAAGTGCCCTGCTTCAAATACTTTTTGGAAGTAACAGTAGAAGTATTAAGTACAGCGTAAGCACAGGATGAGGAGTCTGTGTGTGTGTGTGACCAAACAGCATTTGTGATATGAGATCCTGTCTCCGATGAAATGCCTGTAGAAATGCCCTGTCCCTCATCAAACAGGGACCCGGCAGAGTAGAGCCACATCCATCCATGAGGGACCACCCCTTCCTCAGTGAAGAGGTGCCTGGAGGCAGCCATTTTGCCCACATGAGGAGGGACAGCTCCTGAGGGAGTGGGCGTTGGCTGGAGCTGCATCTCTGCCCTTCAGATCCTACTCAGAGCTTCAAAAGAACGTTTTTGGCAGATAATAATTTGATGTGTTTTGTCAAGCCATTTATATGATGCTTGAGCTTACTAAATATTATCTTATGTTATTATATATTATTACTTTATTTATTATTTCTAAAATATATTATTTTTACTTGTTGACATTATAGAACAGTGCATTTGTTTCTAAATGTTGGATATAGTTTTAAGCTCAACAGATAAATCTATATATTATTACATATTAATAGTCTATATATTATTTCTAAAATATATTATTTTTACATAGTGACATTATAGAACAGTGCACTTGTTTATAAATATAGGATGCAGTTTTAAGCTAAAGCAATAAATTAAATCTGTCTTGTAGCACGTATTTGTCAGCTCGCTGTCTCCGTGACTGTGTCGGCCTTGACCGCGCTCCCCTGTACCTGTACCCTTGCTGCTCCTGCTTTGCCCATTGAGGGGGAGGTCAGTGGACTATTTCCAGCCAGTCATTCAGTTTCTCCTTGTGGAGAAACCCATACAACGTGATCCACGTTGAAAAAAAATAACATGGGTGCGCTGCTCTCTGTCCTGGAGGTGAAGTAATGAGACGAAACTCCAGGTAAAGGCCATCTATGCTATGTTCTCCCGTGTTCAGAAGGCTTGTTAAAGGCAGTTGAAGGGGCTTCCCTGGCAGGTCCAGTGGTTAAGAATCCAGCTCGCAGTTCAGGGGACATGGGTTCGATCCCTAGTCAGGGAACTAAGATCCCACACACCGTGGAGCATCTGAGCCCACACACCCCAAGTGCGGGGCCCACACTCCATACCTAGACTCACTGTGCCACAGTGAAAGATCTTGCGTGACATAACTAAGACTCTATGCAGCAAATACATTAATTAATTAAAAATATTTTTTAAAAAGTAGCAGTTAAAGATGAGGGTACATCCTGTTGGGACAGCCGTTTACTCAAAGAAAACTCTGTGTTACAGAGGCAGAGGACTTTGGAAAACAGGAAACAGAGGTGACAACGCTCTAAAGGGCCAACATATAACTAATCGTCATGAATTTTCCAAGTCCTTCCTCTTTTCAGTAGGAATCTGTCAGATACTGGACCAAAGTAGGCTGATGTGAACTAAGATGATTGAACAAATTTGGATCAAGAAAGCTGGGGTCATGGGCTTAGAGTTGATCCTCATACCATTTCCCACAGTGATGAGAACTTGCGGCAGATTTTTCTGAGATTGACAGTCTCTAGGGTCTTAGGCAAAATTACAGAGCTGACATTTTTTTTACCCAGATATCTGCCTTCTTGGACTTCTTCCTGCTTTTCTTTCCCATTGTCTTGTCATTCTGTCCTACGCACGTGCCCTCATTCTCTTCTCAGGATGTTTTCAACCCCACCTGGTCCTGTCCCTTGTTAAGATTTGTAAAATGGTTAGAGCAGAACCCATCACATGGTAAGGACTGGATATATTTGCTAAAGAAAATTGAAGTAAATTTCATTAATAAATATTCTTCATCATTGTCCCCAGAGTTCAGTATCTGGAAGGCACTGATCTATTCTAAATAAATAATTGGGACTAGGGTATGAGTTAGAGGGCTTCCCAGGTGGCTCAGTGGTAAAGACTCTGCCTGCCACAGCAGGATATGCATGAACAAAGCTAATGGAGGTGGTGGAATTTCAGTTGAGCTGTTTCAAACTCCTAAAAAATGATGTTGTGAAAGTGCTGCACTCAGTTCAGTTCAGTTGCTCAGTCGTGTCCAACTCTTTGCAACCCCATGAACCACAGCACCCCAAGCCTCCCTGTCCATCACCAACTCCTGGAGCCCACCCAAACCCATGTCCATTGAGTCGGTAATGCCATCTAACCATCTCATCCTCTGTCGTCCCCTTCTCCTCCTGCCCTCAATCTTTCCCAGCATCAGGGTCTTTTCAAATGAGTCAGTACTTCCCATCAGGTGGCCAGCGTATTGGAGTTTCAGCTTCAACATCAGTCCTTCCAATGAACTCCCAGGACTGATCTCCTTTAGGATGGACTGGTTGGATCTCCTTGCAGTCCAAGGGACTCTCAAGAGACTTCTCCAACACCACAGTTCAAAAGCATCAATTCTTCTGTGCTCAGCTTTCTTTATAGTCCAACTCTCACATCCATACATGACCATATGCCAGCAAATTTGGAAAACTCAGCATTGGCCACAGGACTGGAAAAGGTCAGTTTTCATTCCAATTCCAAAGAAGGGCAATGCCAAAGAATGTTCAAACTACCGCACAATTGCACTCGTCTCACAAGCTAATAAAGTAATGCTCAAAATTCTCCAAGCCAGGCTTCAACAGTATGTGAACCATGAAGTTCCAGGTGTTCAAGCCAGATTTAGAAAAGGCAGAGGAACCAGAAACCAAATTGCCAATATCCGTTAGATCATTGAAAAAGCAAGAGAGTTCCAGAAAAACATCTACTTCTGCTTTATTGACTATGCCAAAGCCTTTGACTGTGTGGATTACAACAAACTGTGGAAAATTCTTAAAGAGATGGGAATATCAGACCACTTACCTCCCTTCTGAGAAATCTGTATGCAGGTCAAGAAGCAACAGTTAGAACTGGAAATGTCACAACAGACTGGTTCCAAATAGGGAAAGGAGTGTGTCAAGGCTGTATATTGTCACCCTGCTTATGAAGAGTACATCATGCAAAATGCCAGGCTGGATGAAGCACAAGTTGGAATCAAGATTGCCGGGAGAAATATCAATAACCTCAGATGTACAGATGACACCACTCTTATGGCAGAAAGCAAAGAACTAAAGAGCCTCTTGATGAAAGTGAAAGAGGAGAGTGAAAAAGTAGGCTTAAAACTCAGCATTCAGAAAACTAAGATCATGGCATCCAGTCCCATCATTTCATGGCAAATAGATGGGGAGACAATGGAAACAGTGACAGACTTTATTTTTGGAGGGGCTCCAAAATCATTGCAGATGAAATTGAAAGAAGCATACTCCTTGGGAGAAAAGCTATGACCAACCTAGACAACATATTAAAAAGCAGAGACATTACTTTGCCAACAAAGGTCCATCGAGTCAAAGCTATGGTTTTTCCAGTAGTCGTGTATGTATGTGAGATTTGGACTGTAAAGAAAGCTGAGCACCAAAGAATTGATGCTTTTGAACTGTGGTGTTGAAGAAGACTCTTGAGAGCCCTTTGGACTGCAAGGAGATCAAACCAGTCAATCCTAAAGGAAATCAGTCCTGAATATTCACTGGAAGGACTGATGCTGAAGCTGAAACTCCCATACTTTGGCCACCTGATGCGAAGAACTGACTCCTTGGAAAAGACCCTGATGCTGGAAAAGATTAAAGGCAGGAGGAGAAGGGGATGATGGAGGATGAGATGGTTGGATAGTGTCACCGACTCAACAGACATAAGTTTGAGCTAGCTTCGGGAGTTGGTGAGGGACAGGGAGGCCTGGTGTACTGCAGTCCATGAGGATGCAGAGCTGGACATGACTGAGTGACTGAACTGAACTGGGTTTGATCCCTGGGTCAGTAAGATCCCCTGGAGAAGGAAATGGCAACCCACTCCAGTGTTCTTGCCTGGGAAATCCCATGGACAGAGGAGCCTGGTGGGCTATACTCCGTGGGGCTGCAAAGAGCTGGACACGACTGAGTGACTGATCATACACACATGCGTGTATGAGTTGGACTTTTTCCTACCAGGATGCATTGCATTTAAAAATCCAAGCCTCTTCACCCAGTAGATGTATGATTAATACAACCCGTAATACACATTTGGTGGGTAGCAAAGATGAGAAAGACACATTTCTCACCACCCAGCTCTCCACCATCCAGCTTCTCGTCCTCTTTTTACATGGTTCTGCAGCTGGAGATGTAGCACTGTTCCCAGTGACCCTGGCAAAGAGAATCTGACTTTGTACAGTGTCTGGAATGGAAAGTCTCCTTTAAACTCTCCCCTTTTTGGGACTTCCCTTGCTGTCCAGTGGTTAAGACTTTGCCTTGCAATGCAGGTGGTACAGGTTTGATCCCTGAGTCAGAGAACTAGTTCCCACATGCTGCAACTAAATATCCTGCATGCTGCACGAAAAGACCTGGGACAACAAACAAATGCATTAAAAAAAAAAAGCTCTTCCCTTTCAAACTGACTGTTACCTAGTTATTTACAGATGCCCTGGCCCACTCATAAGGCCTCTTTCTTGTTCATTATTAGTCTACCCACACATACTACATGAGCCGCTATTCCTGCCTAAAGTCCTTTACAGTTGACTTTCTCACAAATATTTGACTTACAACGTGGTAAAACCGAGCACTGGTTAGACATTAAAAAGCACTAGTAAAATGCAGATAAGGCATATCAAGAATGCAAAAATTGTTCAAATCATTATTGAAGATGTCCTTTTTGAATGCTAGATACTAGGCAGAGGTATTGCTTAGATGGTCTTGTATCACTCCATTCACAGAATGAGCTCCTTAAATATTGTTTGCTCTTTTCTTCAACCAAAGAGCATGTTTCTGGGGAACTCCCCCATGCGCTGGTGGGTTTTCCTTTGGGAAATTAGATCTGTGGTAGCAGGTGTCCTGTTTTGATGTAACAATGTTTATATCTCTGGATTCTGTAGTATTTTGCACATAGATGTTTTATAATTTTAGAAAACAAGAGAGGTTAGATTATTTTAAGAGCGTATTTATTCACAGTACTCTGTAAGTAATAGACTGAAAACTAGGCTATTTTCTGATTCCAAAGTATTTGCTACCTGCTGCTTATTGTTAATCATATTCTAAATTTTTTTAACTATCTTGAAGTGCTTAGATTCCTAGTGTCAATAAGAAGTAATTAACAGAGAAATTCCTTTCACTCATGTGACACAACTTAGGAATTTATTTCTTCTTCAGAAGCCTGGTATTTAATTACTAGCAGGAAAGATTATAATTCAAAAGAAGCTTGGTGGAATTTTGGATTTGGGGATGGTTCTGGTCAATTTCATTAAAATATAAAGTTATTTTTTTAAAGCTCTCATTATTTCTGCATATGGTACTTGGTTTCACTGTGTGCTATTAAGCCTGTAACATGAAATTTAAAGAAGCAGAAATATGAATTTTTTGTCACTTACTTAGTACAGTATTTCTTTATAATGCTTTGTATTATTATGAAAGGCAACACTTTTTTATTGTCAGTATAAATGAATAGACTAATATCTAATGACTGAAAGATTCAGTGTTTTTGGCCAAGTGGTTTAACACAATTGCTTGCTTCTGAAAAGTAGTGAAATTATATAAGGAGGATAGATTGATAGAATTTATATGTAGGCATCCCCATGTGATAAAAATTCAAGTGATTTTATCAGAACTTAACTCATAAATGTCACTTTATTTATTGAATGTGTGTGCGCACAAATTTTAAATTTTTCAAATGAAATTTCTCTGTGGTCAAAAGACCTTTTGATATGTGTAGGAGTATATGATATATGTGTATATATTATACATATTATATTTAAATAAATATGTATCTACATAGAATCTATAGTTACACAGAAGCTATATATACATGTATGTGTATGTGTGTGAGTGTGTGTGTTCTCAATGGCTTCAGTTGTGTCTGACTCTTTGTGAGCCCATAGACTGTGGCCCGCCAGGCTCCTCTGTCCATGGAATTCTCCAGCAAGAATATTAGAGTGGGTTGCCATTCCCTCTCCAGAGGATCTTCCCAACCCAGGGATGGAAACTATCTCCTGCACTGCAGGCAGATTCTTCACCACTGAGACACTGGGGAAGCCCATATGTGTGGGTATATATGCAGATAAATATATATGTATGTATATCTGTATATATATCTTTAGAAGCTTCTTGTCAGTTTAACAACCCAGAATAATTTTTTGAGAGTCTTGGAGCCGTCCCCCTGGAATGTGAACATCTAGGAAGATAGCACTCCTGCCTCTCCATCACAGGAGAATTTAACCTTGGGCCTGCTCTCCAAGCTATAACCATTTGCTTGTCAGAGCGATAAGAAAAGATTTATTATCCTCTTCATTAGTTGGATAAAAGCAGCTAGGTAAAATAAATGGCTGCTTCCATGGCCAGGTGAATTCAGAGTGGGCTATGAAAGTGTGCTGTCAAGTCCTCTTATAGGGGAAAGAAAAGAAAGTGAAGTCACTCAGTCGTGTCTGACTCTTTGTGACCCCATGGACGCTATGTAGCCTGCCAGGCTCCTCTGTCCATGGGATTTTCCAGGCAAGAATACTGGAGTGGGTTGCTATGTCCTTCTCCAGGGGAATCTTCCCAACCCGGGGATTGAACTCAGGTCTCCTGAATTGCAGGCAGACTCTTTACTGTCTGAGCCACCAGGGGAGGTCTCTTATAGGGGAGTGACCAGTTATCTTTCATCTTGAGACTGTAAGTATGTGCTGGATTATAACTGTTTGCCTGTATAAATGAGGCAGGATTGTATGTCTTTGTAATATCTTCTGTGCAGAGTACCTATAGCATCATGCTCTGGATACACGTATTCAGTAATAAAACTGCTGTCTTTCTTTTCTACACTTTGTGGAGAGGATTCTGTGTTGTTTGGACTTCATTTCCCCCACAGTATCCACACACCTCACACAGGTTGTCAAGGCTACTGACGTGAGCAGGATTTGACACATGCCCTTGTGAAGCTTGTATTCTAAATAAGTTTACTAGCAACTCTGTTCTGCAAAGCAGAATAAGTACAAGTAGGAAAAAAGGAAAGAGCCCAGAGCCAGGAGAGGAGACTCAGCTGAGGAGAAAAGTTGAGGTTGAGCTATAGAAACAGAAGGTAGAATGTTGGTTATAGGGTGAGGGGCAGGGGGACGGGAGATGTGGGTCAGAGGGCACAAGCTTCTGGTTATCAGATGAACGATTTCTGAAGATCTAATGTACAGCATGATGGCTATAGTTATTAATGCTGTATTATAGAATTTTCCTGATGGTCCAGTGGTCAGGACCCCAAGTTTTCAATGCAAGGGGTGCAGGTTCCATCCCTGGCAAGGAACTGTGATCTCACATGCTACGCTCTGCAACCAAAAAAAAAAAATTCATAGTAATATTGTGGTGTATGCTTGAAAGTTGCTGAGAGTAGATCTTAACTAGTCTCACCACAAAAAGAGGAGAGGGTAACTACATGAAGTGATGGATGTGTTAATTAAATTGATTGTGGTAAATATTTCATAGTATGTACTCATATCAAATCTTCATGATATACACTTTAAATGTATACAGTTTGGTCAGTTACACCTCGCTAAAGTTGGGGGGAAATTGGAGCAAGGGGAGTGAAGCCACATAAGCAGAAGAATAAGAAAAAATAAGTGAGGTAGTGGAGGGAGGGATGGAGTAGCAATGAGTCCAGTCACAGTGGGTTTTGTTTTGGGTTTTAAAAAAAAAAATTTTTATTTGTTTATTTGGCTGCACTGAGTCTTGGTTTTGCTGCCACTATGGTGAAAATAAAAGTTCAGCTATTTCCTGCCAGAGGGTCTTCAACTATTCTTGCTTTTGGCATTTTTATTTTGTTTTGAAGTGTCTTAGTCTGTTTGGGCTGCTGTAACAAAAATACCATAGACTGGGTGGCTTAAAGAACACACATTTATTTCTCACAGTGTGGATGCTAGGAAGTCTGAGATCAAGGGGCCAGCAGCAAGAAAGCTCCCTGGGGTCTCTTGTGTAGGAGCACCAAACCCATGCATGGTGGCTCCACCCTCACATTCTGTTGACCTGCCAAAGGCCCCACCTCCTAATACCACTGCACTGGGGATTATGATTTCAACATATAGATTTACAGGGACAAAAACCTGCAGTTCATAACATGGAGCAATGCTGCACTTTAGGAATTATTGTCCCCCAAAAATGTTCTGTTTTACTTTCTGATAAAAACTTGCTGTATGTATTAAAATTCATATGGACTCAGGGTCAATGAATTTTTTTTTTCAGGCTCTGTATCAGGTTTTGTCATAAAATTTAGGGAGAAGGTAAGAGTCACTTAATATAGTCTGTTTTTCCAGTAAACTACCAAAGTGTATCTATTCAGATAAGGGAGGTATCATTGTTGAGTCAGTTTTATTATTCTTATCCTATCTCAGTGCCTAAGGAGCAATAAATACATTAGTGAGAATCACATTAAAGCAAGGGACAAAAATTATAAATTAATTTCTGGTTAACTCTCGATGAGAGCTGCAGAGAGAGCTTTGTTTTGTCTGCACTGGGTCTTTGTTGCTGCGTGTGCTTTCTCTAGTTGTGGTGAGTGGGGGCTGCTCTCTAGCTGCAGTAGGCGGCCTTCTCAATGTGGTGGCTTCTCGTTGCAGAGCACAGGCTCTAAGGTGTGAGGACATAGTTGCCCCTGCGCACGTGGGATCTTCCCGCACCAAGGATAGACCCCGTGTCCCCTGCTTTGCAAGGTGGATCCTTAACCACTGGACCACCAGGGAAGCCTGAAAGAGCTTTTTTTAAAGCTGCAACAATGACTGGCATTAAAAAAAACAACAAAAGACTCAAATGCATTAAGCACTGACTTTAGCAAGACTGTATGAGAAGTTTAAAAATAACAAGGATAACTACAGCTTCCATGCCTGTGCTTTAAGATGCACTTAAGGGCTCTGATTTTTTTTTTTTTTTTCATGTCAACATTCATAACTTACATTTTGTTTTCTGGTGAGAAAGGAGTGGGATATATTTTGAATAAGAGGACTCTCAGATTCTACTTTGATTTTTTGTGTTTTTCTGTAGCTGCTAGGTGAACTGATCTTGGACCGGCACAACTTTGCCATCATGACCAAGTACATCAGCAAGCCAGAGAACCTCAAACTGGCGATGAACCTCCTCCGGGATAAAAGCCCCAACATCCAGTTTGAAGCCTTTCACGTCTTTAAGGTAAACAGCACCCTGCAGAAATAATGTAGGCATTCCTTTTCCAGTTTCCAATGGCAAAATCACTATTTTGGACCTTCCTTTTGACTCGAGAGAACATGAACTAGGCAGTCTCTTGGTTTTGCATGACTTAGTTGAAATTCTAAAGTTCTTTGCATGGATGCCCATTTATTTCAAAAAGATTTGCTGATGAACCTATATCTTGAAATATTTGCATCTTTTTCAGTAAGAAAATAGGTGGATACTGTTTCCCAGAAGTTACTAAGATAATCAGTGATTGAGCTAAAACCCAAACCCTGAGTGTCAGAATTTGAAAGTTTCACTTCTGCCTTAAACGTTCCTTTGAACTTTAAATGAAACTGAAAGAAACACAGTGTACTAACTCTTATTCCTTGCTTAGAAATATTTTAATGCATTTTAAAAGAAAACTAAAAAAAAATAGTCTATATAATACCTGCTTTTTCAAATATTTTTTGTGATGTAATAAAATCATCTCCTAGAAACTTTAAGCAGTAGATTTGTTTAAAAGTAGAGTAGGGGCTTCCTTGGTGGTCCAGTGGTTAAGAATCCAGCTGCCAATGCAGGGGACATGGGTTTGATCCCAGGTCGGGAAGATCTCACATGCCCTGGAGCAGCTAAGCCTGTGCGCCAGAACTGCTAAAGCCAGGACGCCCTAGAGCTCGTGCTCCACAAAAGGAGATGCCACTGCAATGAGTTTGAGAAGTCCGAGTACCGCAACTAGAGAGCAGCCCCAGCTCGCTGCAACTTGCAAAACCTGTGCGCAACAATGAAGACACAGCACACCCCAAAATAAATAAATAAATACATCTTTTTAAAAGAGTGAAAAGAAAGTGATGTCCCTCAGTCATGTCCAACTCTTTGTGACCCCATGGACTGTAGCCTACCAAGCTCCTCCGTCCATGGGATTTTCCAGGCGAGAGTACTGGAGTGGGTTGCCATTGCCTTCTCCAGAGGATCTTCCCAACCCAGGGATCGAACCTGGCTCTCCTGCATTGTAGGCAGATGCTTTACCATCTGAGCCACTAGGGAAGTCACATTTTTTTTTTTTTTTTAAAAAGTAGGGTAGGCGAGAGAAATCTAATCTATAATCCACTAACCCTGACTTAACTCTTGTAAAGATTTTAGTAAATTTTATTTTCCTGTGCACGTGTGTAAAGGTTTTTTTCTAGAGCTGAATTCACATTGTACACAGTATTGATACACTAATTTTATCACTTAATGCTATACCATATGTGAACACTAATTCATTGTTGTTATATATAGCTTTTTAAAAGAGTCAATAGTTTTATTGGTATCATAGTTTTTCGCTGAGTATATTTACTCTAGTTTACTTAAATATCCCCATGTTGTTTGTAGTTAGGCTGTTTTCAATTTGTAGCTACAATGAGCATTTTATGTATCAAGCTAATTTGTTTCCATTCTTAGGATTATTTTCTTAGGATCAGTATCTAGAATAGAATTAAGGGTTGAGAGAGTTCCAACCTCTTTTTGTTTTTAATCTTTGTAAGGTATATTCTGTGATTGAATTTATAAGTCAGAGACACAGCAGTTTTTTTTTTTTTTTTTTACTTTTTTGACACAGCAGTTTTTAATGTATGTAATTGTTGTTTTGAAAGGTAAAAAAAAAATTTAGTCCATCTTTCAGGCCACCAGATCTTTATTGTGCAAAAAACCACTAGAGCCATTCAAATCCCATAGTAATTTATAAATTCTACTTAATTGCATTCAGAATCCTAGCAGTGCTTTTTCTGGAACTTCACTAGCTGATTCTAAAATTTGTATGATAGAGCAATGGCCTGGGATTATCTGTGACAATTCTCAAAGAAAACAAGGTAGAGAAATCCACCCTACTATATATTAAGATTTCCTCTGGATTTATCATAAATGAAAACAATACTGTATTGGCATGGAGATAGATAAAGAGAGCAACAAAACAGAGTAAGGCCCAGAAGTGAGCCTGTGGAAATGTGAAAATTTGATGTTTGGTAGTGGAGAAATTATAAATCAGTAAAGAAAGGGTTACTGTTAATAAATGTTTCTCAGTTCAGTTCAGTCCCTCAGTCATGTCTGATTCTTGCGACCCCATGGGCTGCAGCACGCCAGGCTTCCCTGTCCATCACCAACTCCTAGAACTTACTCAAATTCATGTCCATTGAGTTGGTGATGCAATCCAACCATCTTATCCTCTGTCGTCCCCTTTTCCAGCCTTTAATCTTTCCCAGCATCAGGGTTTTTTCAAACGAATCAGTTCTTCGCATCAGGTGGCCAAAGTATTGGAGTTTCAGCTTCAGCATCAGTCCTTCCAATGAATATTCAGGTCTGATTTCCTTTATGATTGACTGGGTTGATCTTTTTTCAGTCCAAGGGACTCTCAAGAGTCTTCTCCAACACCAAGTTCAAAAGCATCAGTTCTTCTGTGCTCAGCTTTCTTTATAGTCCAACTTGCACATCCATACATGACTACTGGAAAAGCCATAGCTTTGACTAGATGGACCTTTGTTGGCAAAGTAATGTCTCTGCTTTTTAGTATGCTGTCTAGGTTGGTCATAGCTTTTCTTCCAAGGAAAAGTGTCTTTTAATTTCATGGCTGCAGCTGCCATCTGCAGTGATTTTGAAGCCCCCCAAAATAAAGTCTGTCACTGTTTCCATTGTTTCCCCATCTATTTGCCATGAAGTGATGGGACCAGATGCCACAGTCTTAGTTTTCTGAATGTTGAGTTTTAAGCCAACTTTTTCACTCTCCTCTTTCACCTTCATCAAGAGACTCTTTAGTTCTTCTTTGCTTTCTGCCATAAGGGTGGTGTCATCTGCAACTTGTGCTTCATCCAGCCCAGCGTTTCTCATGATGTACTCTGCATATAAGTTAAGTAAGCAGGGTGACAATATACAGCCTTGACATACTCCTTTCCCTCTTTGGAACCAGTCTGTTGTTCCATGTCCAGTTCTAACTGTTGCTTCCTGACCTGCATACAGATTTCTTAGGAGGCAGGTCAGGTGGTCTGGTATTCCCATCTGTTTAAGAATCTTCCACAGTTTGTTGTGATCCACACAGTCAAAGGCTTTGGCATAGTCAATAAAGCAGAAGTAGATGTTTTTCTGGAACTCTCTTGCTTTTTTGATGATCCAACAGATGTTGGAAATTTGATCTCTGGTTCCTCTGCCTTTTCTAAATCTGACTTGAACATCTGGAAGTTCATGGTTCATATACTGTTGAAGCCTGGCTTGGAGAATTGAGCATTACTTTACTAGCGTGTGAGATGAGTACAACTGTGCTATAGTTTGAGCATTCTTTGGCATTGCCTTTCTTTGGAATCAGAATGAAAACTGACCTTTTCCAGTCCTGTGGCCACTGCTGAGCTTTCCAAATTTGCTGGCATATTGAGTGCAGCACTTTAACAGCATCATCTTTTAGGATTTGAAACAGCTCAACTGGAATTCCATCACGTCCACTAGCTTTGTTCGTAGTGATGCTTCCTAAGGCCCACTTGGCTTCACATTCCAGAACATCTGGCTCTAGGCAACTGATCACACTATTGTGGTTATCTGGGTCATGAAGATCTTTTTTGTGTAGTTCTTCTCTGTATGGTTTTAGGATAAGGGATTATTAATATAGAAAACTCCCATCCACTATTTTCAGAAATAAATTACCAGTAGAGATCTACACTTGAAAAGCATAACATCTTTTAACTTTTAAAAGAGAAAATAAACTTTTTATGATGCTGGGGAAGGAAGAATTTTTAAAAAGTTTGATATCACAAAGCATAAAAGGAAATAATGTTTGACATGTAAATTTGACACCTGTTTGAAAAGACATCATAAACAAAGTGAGAGAACAGGACAGAATGTGACACATAGAGTTGACAAATCGTTTAGAAAAAGGCAAACAATTAAATAGAAAAATGGGCAAAGGATGCAAGTTGGTGACTTACAAATGAGGAAACCTGTTTTTGTTGTTGTTTGTTGTTTAGTCATTCAGTTGTGTTCGACACTGTGACCCCATGGGCTGCAGCCCGCCAGGCTCCTGTGTTCGTGGGATTTCCCAGGCAAGAATACTGGAGTTGGTTGCCCTTTCCTTTTCCAGGGGAAATCTGATTGGCCAACAAACAAGTAAAGATGCTCATCACAGTGGCAATCATGGAAATGGCCATTAAAATATTAATGAGATGTCACATAACATTTTTCATATTGCCAAAAATGTTTAGGTCTGACAATATCAAATTGTGGTAAGGTTAGGGGGCAGTTGGTTTTTACACTGTAAATTAGTACTAATACAAGCACTTGGGAGAGCAGTTTAGCAAAATAAAGTACTGAAAGTGTCTGTACTCTTCATTCCTAAATCTCATTTCCTAGGACATCTTGCTCACAGGCATAAGGAATTATGTACCAAAATGTTTATTGCACATTGTTTAGCATGTTGCAAAATGAAAAAATAAAAAGGTATCTGTAGAAATCTAGGACAATAAATTATGATATATTCATAGAATAGCATATAGTAATGGGTTAAAATTAATAGTTATATGGGATCAATGTAGGCAAATCTCAGAAACATTGAGTGGGATTAAGCAAATATTAAAAGGATTTTCTTTATTTAAAGTTTAAAAACATGAAAAACTATACTATGTATAGATTTATTTGTATGTAGTTGGGGTCTAAAAACCTGCATGGAAATGATAAATACCAAATTTAGGATAGCAGTCACCTCACAGGAGGAAGAAGGACATCAGGAAAGAGAATGACAACAACAGCTGTCTAATGGTCTTTAATTTTATCCATAATGTTTTATTTTATTCAGATTCTGAAGGCACATATGGCAAAAATGATAGAACTGATGGTGGGAGCTTGAAATCTGCAGTGTTACTGCTGTGCTCTTCTCTGTTTATATTATTTCATAAGGAATAAGCACAAAGTGGATGGAATAAAAATAGGCTCTTGTAGGACAGGAAAGTGCCTGCACAGTATAAAATGATAGACCCTCTTAAGATCCTTCCTTTTTGACTGAGGAAATTATAGAAGGCTTGCCATTGTTTTGTCATTCCAGCTCCCACAGAGTTTTACTATGCCATCCTAGATGAAAACATGCTTCATATAATTTTGTTCCAAAATGTAGTATTATAGAAGTATTCAGTGGGTGGCAAAATAGAAATAACCTTCTTCCATCCTCTGAGATCAGAATTTGGATTGTCTCAGTATTGGACAGAGTAGGTACATTTCAAAATAGCTGGCCACTTGTTTACTTGCATGTGTATAAACTGGATGTACCCTGGGCCCTGACTTTTTTCCTTCCACTGAAGTACACACTGAATTGTTTACTTGCCAAAAATAATATTTTGTTATTTAGAAAAATAAAGTTATTTTTCACAGTTTTTTTTTCAGTTTTTTCACAGTTCTTTATTAATAGTCTTGTTCCCCAAATACCTTCCACAAGATACAGCAAATGTGGTCTAAAAATGTCTTCACCAGATTATTAATGGCCAGTTTTCATTAGCTTGCTTGAATCATTCAAGGACTTGAATGAGATGCCGTTTCATGTTTTTTCTGCGATTGACAAACAAGATTGTGTGATGGGAAAGGACTGGACGGAACTCAGGAGACCTGGGTGTTTGTTGTGGCTCAGTTGCCATCAGTGACTTTGGGCAAAATCCATTCGGATCTGTTTCTTCACTTGAAAAATGTTAAATTAAAAAAGTTAAAGTTAGGGACTGGCCTGGTGGTCCAGTGGCTGAGACTGCATGCTCCCAGTGCCCTGGGCCCGGGTTCGATCCCTGGTCGGGGAACTAGATCCCATATGCTGCAACTAAGAGTTCACATGCCACAACTAAAGAACTAAAGGTCCTGCATGCCACAGCAAAAATCAAAGATACCACAAAGACCCAGCACAGCCAAATAAATAAAAAAAAATTATGTTTAAAAGTTACAGTTAGATTAAAATGAAAAAAATCTGGACAAGGTGGAAGGGAGGCTCAAGAGGGTGTGGATGGATGGGTGTATTTATACACAGAGCTGATTCATCATACTGTAGAGTAGAAATAACAAAACACTGTAAAGCAATTATACTCCAAGAAAAAATAAATTAACATTCAGTATTTTTTTTTAAGTGTAATTCCAGGATACTAGGTTCAAGAGACCTTTGTCTCTATGATCCTCCCTCTTCCAGAGATGCGCCCAATGTGAATTTAGGAATCCACCATGAGCTGATATCTCTTTCCTTCCTTTCCCTGTTCGCCTCCTTGATGGCAAAGGACCAGACTGCCACTTTCTACTAAGCCATGTAGAGGATGGGGGTGGTCAGTGCCTTTCAGCTCACCACTCTGAGAGCTGCTGGAACTTGAGCATATGTGGTGTGTGAGTGAGAAGTCGCCTCAGTCGCGTCCGACTCTTTGAGACACTATGGACTGTAGTCCCAGGCTCCTCTGTCCATGGGATTCTCGGGGCAAGAAAACAGGTGTGAGTTGCCATGCCCTCCTCCAGGGGATCTTGTGGACCCAGGGATTGAACCCCTGTCTCCTGCTTTCCTGCCTTGGCAGATGGGTTCCTTACCACTAGCACCACCTGGGAAGCCCAGTTTTGTCTCAATTATTACATGTAGCCATATGCACAGAAAAAAATGGGCTTCCCGGGTGGCTTCGCAGTAGAGAATCTGCCTGTCAATACAGGGAACATGGGTTCGATCCCTGGGTTGGGGACATACTCTGGAGGAATAAGTGGCAACCCACTCCAGTATTCTTGCCTGGAGAATCCCATGGACAGAAGAGCCTGGTGGGCTGCAGTCCATGGGGTCGCAGAGCTGGACATGACTGAGCAACTGATCATGCAGCAAGCACTAGTCTGGCTACGGTCTTCATTTGTGTTTCCTAGTGACCTAATGATGTCAAACTTTTTTTTCTCATGCATATTGATAATTTATATATTTTCTTTGGGGAAATGTCCACTCAAGTCCTTTGCCCCCTTTTAAAAAGGGTTGTGTGTATTTTTGTTGTTGCACTGGAAGAATTCTCTGTATAGTCTGGATAATAAACACTGGTCATATATACGATTTGTAAATATTTTCTAAGATTCTTTGTGCTGTCTTTTCACTCTCTTGATAGTATCCTTTGATGCACAAATGTTTTAAATTTTGATGAAGTTCAACTTACCCATTTTTTTCTTTTCTTGCTCATGCTTTTGATGTAGCTATGAAACCACTGTTAAATCCAAGGTCATGAAGATGTACCCATATATTATCCTCTAAAAGTTTTATTAGCTCTTATATTTAGGTCTTTGATCAATTTTGAGTTAATTTCTGTTTATGGTGTGAAATAAGGGTCCAACTTAATTTTTTTTTTTTGGTTCAATTTTTTTTTTTTTTTTGCATGTGGTTTTTCAGCTGTTGAGTGTTTGCTTTTTTTAAATTATTATGAAAAGGTATTGGAGTTTGTCAAATACTTTTTCTGAGTGAGTTAAAATGATCTTATGGTTTTCTTTCAATGTACTCATGTGTCATATTGACTTCCTAGAGCTGCTTTAACGAAGTACCATAGGCTAAATGTCCTAAAACAACAGAAAGTCGTTGTCTCTGCATTCTGTCAACTAAAAGGCCAAAATCAAGGTGTCAGCAAGCTTGTTTCCTTTTGGAGCTTTCAGGGAAAATCTGTGCCTTTCTCCTAGCTTCTGGTGGTTGCCAACAGTCCTTGGCACTCCTTGCCTTTTAGATGCATAACCCCAGTCTCTGTCTCTGTCTTTTTTGCTTTTCTTTTTAATTCAAGTTTATTCATTGTGTCTGAAGTAAAACTGATTTTGCAGCATTCCTGTCTGTCTCCATCTTCACATGGCATTTTCCTCTGCATATGTCTGTGTGTTTCTGTGTCCAAAATTTCCTCTTCCTCTAAGGATACTGGTATTAATAGTGGGATTCAGGCCCAGCCTAGCCCAGTATGAACTCTCTTAATTTGATTACATCTCTGCTTCCAAATAAGGTCATATTCACAGGTACCGAGGGTTAGGGCTTGAACATTCATCTTTTAAGAGGATGCAGTTCAGTCCAGTACATGTGGTGTACTACATTGATTGATTTCATTATGTTGAGCCATGCTTGTATTTCTGTGATAAATCCCACTTGGTCATAGTGTGTAATCCTTTTAATATTATTCTGGACTTCATTTGCTTGTCTTTTGTTGAGGATTTTTGTATCTTCATTCATAAAGGATATTGGTCTGTAGTTTTCTTGTGGTAGTCTTGTCTGGCTTTGGTAACAGGGTAATGCTAACCTCACATAATGAGTTAGGAATTATTCCCTTTTCTTTTATTTTCTGGAAGAATTTGAAGTAGATTGGTGTCGATTTTTCTTTCAAAATGTGTAGAATTTACTGTGAAATCATCTGGTTCTGTCTGGACTTTTGTTGAGAGGTTTTTGGTTCCTGATTCAACCTCCTTATAGAAATAAAAGATCATAAGAGAATACTATAAATAACTGTACATCAATAAATTAGGTAACCCAGATGAAATGGACAAATTCCAAGGAACATACAATCCACCAAAGAAGAAAGAGAAAATCTGATTTGTGGACTCTTATGTCACCCACACCGTGATTTTCTTCCAAAAGGGAGTAAAATCTCGGGCTTTCTGTGTTTAATAACTCAAGTAACAGATGAGACACAGGAGGGACCCATGTTTTCCAGCTGTGCATTCCTTGTCCTAGGTGTTTGTTTCTCGTGTTTCAGGTGTTTGTGGCCAGTCCTCACAAAACACAGCCTATTGTGGAGATTCTTCTGAAAAACCAACCCAAGCTCATCGAGTTTCTGAGCAACTTCCAAAAAGAAAGGACCGACGATGAGCAGTTCACCGATGAGAAGAACTACCTGATTAAACAGATTCGTGACTTGAAGAAAGTGGCCCCTTGAAGTCCCACCGAGTTTCCTGCCACCGTCACCGTCTCACTTATTCAGTTCGTACGAGAAGTGTCATTTCAAAAAGTAGCCATTCCTGGGAAGGCTGTGGACGTGCCTGTTTTTTCTCAATCTGTCATTCAGGGTAGATGGAATATAATCTTTTGAATGAAAAAAAATTAATTTAGAATAATATATTCATTTTAACCTGTGATTATTTATATGAAATCAGAGCCATTGTATTGGAAAATTGATAAAAGCAACTTTAACCCTTTCTTAATGAAAGGCAGCAAGGCTGTGGGCTTACAGATGAGCCCTCAGTCACCATGAGCCACCAAGTAGTGGGAACTCGAAGGATGGATGTCACCCAGTCCTCAAAGAGGGTTAAATTCTCAGAGGAGAACTGGGAGTTGGGGCAAGATGCACAAAACTGTTTTTCCCATCTGCAGTTGGACCCACAAATTTCTTAAGGCACTAAGAAAATAAGATCCATATTTTCAGCCATTACATATTCTATTCCCTGCCCACATCTTTTAACCATAATCATTCATTCTTAACTTCCTAGGAAACCAATACCCTGCTTTCTGCTTATGACCCCACATTCTATCTCGATGAATCTCCTCTGTACACCTGACTCATGGTACAAACGCACACACACACACACACACATACACACACACACACACCCTACTCTGACCAGGTTAGCATGGAACCAACTAGGTATAAACAGGATGGTCTAACAAGGATCACAGGCATGAAGGCCCCACCAGGGTAGGACCAGCTCACTTGAAAACTTGTACCAGACGGTTTAGAACCACAGCTCTAGCAGAAATAATTGCTGTTTCACAGAGTTCTGTAGGGTTAGTGAATATTTGGAATATTTCATTCGTACTTCTTAATTTGGGAAAGAAGTTTTGTGGAGAAAGTGTTTTTTAGAGTAAGAATCATTGCATCGAGATGCCTAGTGTGTGCAAAACCACAGGTCCAGAGGGTCACACAGGGCACTTAAACATAAGGAAACACTGCAGTTGGAAGGACAAATGATTACATGCATGAAACATCCTCAAAGGACTGAAAAAATTTTCACTCTAATTTCTAATCTGTCATTGTAATTTCACATCAGATTCTTCGCTGAAAAGGTTTCTGTAAAAATGTTGGTCTCAAATACTCTCTTGCATACTAAGATGATTTAGGAATTAATTTGCGTTTTTTTTTTTTTTTAAATAAAGGTCACGGTTTGTTTTCAGACATCAAGTGTACAAAATGGAATTTTAAAGCTATATTTACAAGACATTAAAGGTACAATTGTTAGTTCTGTATTTTTTTTTAATGATTCTGTTTCCAGATCATGAATTGGTACCTTCCAGAGGAATCTTCACTTTTTATAATGTAGGGTACTGTGTTTTTGAACCAGATATTTCTCCAACTGGAGAGGGGAAGATCCCTCTTCATCCTTCTTGGCTACGTTTACTCCTGCCCCCAGCCCCAGGGTTGAATTCTGAGGCAGATGCGGGAGCTTCTTGTAGCAGCACTGACCAGTGCTGGGCCGTCTGATGGCCTTCAGTCTTGCATCACTGAGGTCAGATTAGTTTTATAACATTCCCTGACAGTCCAGAGTCTCTTCGAATCTGACTTTTCTGGTTTTGTTTGTTTAAAAGAGATGAGTGTAAATATTTTAAAGAAAGAAAGAAGGCGCAGCAATGACTATTGGAAATTTATTTCTTTGCTTAAATACTGTCCCACACATCATGGGACACGTGCTTTCAAGTGGAAAGCAAAACCTTGTTAGAATTCTTTTTTTGATAAGTAAAACATATTTTATTTCCTCTGAGCTTGAATTAGCTCTTTCCTAGCAAACCCCCGTAATAAATGAAGTAGCTGGGGTTTTGCTGTGATACAAATTTGTAAATTATTAGCATGAGAAAGAGGGAGCCAAAAGCTCACAGTTTGCATAAAAGTCACTGTAAATATTGTGAGATTTGAGTTTCGAAAAGGTCATATTTAATAAGCCATTTCAAAAGCACACGTTTAAATAAAGACTGACTAAATGAAAAGGTGCCACACACTCCCCGGTGGTTTTCATTTCTCTTCGCGTGTCCCGCCCCTCTGTTCTCGTCACGGCTCCAAACAGGGGAAGCCCCGGCTGCCGGAGGCCCCACGTCCCCAGCTGTCCGCTCCCGGCTCCCCCACCCCGTGAGGCTCACTGCCCTTGACCAAAGGCTGCCTGTCAGACAGTAGATATTTCACGGGTGCTTCCCTACAGCCAGCGTCATTCCGCTTTTATATGTGAGGAAACCAGGGTGCTCAGGAGTGTATCCCAGACAGCGTGGACCAGAGCTGGGGAGCAAAGCCACCGTGGCCAGAGGCCTAACTCCTGCCCTTACTCTTCTGTTCATCCCCAGGGCTGTGAACGAGGGGGCGGTCCCGGGGGTCTGGACTCATGCTGTGCCCTCCCCCACTGCTGCCTGGCAGGCTCCCAGGGGTGAAGGTTCTAGAAGGAAGCCAGGATGGATTGAGATCATATTGTTTTTGGACGGGGCTCTGGCTCAAGCCAGGCGTTTGCCCAAATGTTAGGATTATTACCGTGGGAGGAAGGGCCAAGAGGCACGCGGTCCTTGAGCAACCGTCTGACTGCCCGTCTTTGGAGGGCTCTGGGGAGCAGTGCCCACTGGAGGGGGGTGTGCAGCGAGCTTCCCAGGGCCTCTGTCAGCAGCTGCGCTTGCTGGTCCGCGTGACACGCAGCTGCTCTGAGCCACAGCGCGGTCTGAAAACGGCATACCACCTGAAAGCGACTGGAATCACGTGAAGGAAAATGAAATTCAAAACTCACGAGGATTTTTCAAATATGAAATGATAGTTGTTTTAAAATAACTTGACGGGTCTTTCTAGACTTAAGAGGCACTTAAGATTTACATCTTCTACTTGTTTTTTTTTCTGTGTTATCCAAGAGAATATTGTGCGGATGGATGAATCCCCACCATCTTTTCCTGCCTGTTCTTTCAGGAAGGTTTTGGATATTTTCATGAGGGCCCATAGTTAGATAAAGCCTGAAACAAAAAGAGACTTGGAAAAGTTAGACTTCGTCTTCCTAAGAAGATTGAAAAGATGATGGCTGTGAACATGGATGTGATTTTGTATTTTGGGTGTTTTTTTTTTTTTAACATAATTTTATTTATTTATTTTTGGCTGTGCTGGGTCTTAATCGCTGCAAGCAGGCTTTCTCTAGTTGCAGCAAGTGGGGGCTGCTCTAACTGCAGTGAATGGGCTTCTCACTGCGGTGGTTTCTCTTGTGAACCACAGGCTCAATAGTTGGGGTGCTCAGGCTTAGTTGCCCGTGGCATGTGGGATCTTCCCAGACCAGGGATCAACTGCATTGGCAGGCTGATTCTCTACCACCCTGAGCCACCAGGGAAGCTAGTGATTTTATTTTTGACATACAGAAAGTGCTGTTGTGGTTAAGACTGTGCTTCCAGTGCAGGGGGCGTGGGTTTGACCCCTGGTTTTGGAACTAAGATCCCATATGCCATTTGGGGTGGCCAAAAAATTAAAAAATGAAAATACAAAAAAAAAAGATTTTAAAAAGAAAGTGCTGTTATACGACTACCTAATGAAAGCAAAGTACAGCAAAATGAGCAGCCTAGCCGGCACTGAGCCTCTTCAGACACCCCTTTGTATCAGTCCCTGAGCTGACGGAGGGAAGCACTGACTCACAGAAAGGGTGAGTAACTTCACCCGATCAAACAGCTGGCAGCAGAGCCAGGACCGAGGCCAGGTCTGACCCCAGAGTCCAGGCTGCACGCCTGGGCCGCCTCCCTCCAAGCCAGCTCTTCAGCTCCAGCCCCTGAGGACAGACACATCCTTCATCATGGCCCCCAAGTTAAAGAGGAAATCCTGCCGAAGGAGAACTCAGCAGGAAGATTTCAAAAGCTAACTTCACTTCAGAAATAGCCTTGCTCCATGTGGCTGTCTGATGTTGGAAGAAGACGTTAGACCTATTTAGACCTATGTATGGGACGAGAGATTCCATCTTGAATTTTTGGATCCTTTTGAACAATCTCTTTACTCTGAAAAAAGAAAGTGAAAGTGTCAGTTGCTCAGTTGTGTCCAACACTTTGCGACCCCATGGACTGTAGCCCGCCAGGCTCCTCTGTCCATGGGATTCTCCAGGCAAGAATTCTGGAGTGGGTTGCCATGCCCTCCTCCAGGGGATCTTCCGACTCAGGGATCAAACCCGTTTCTCCTGGGTCTCCTGCAGTGGGAGGTGGGTTCTTTACCACTAGCGCCATCTGGGAAGCCTGTGGTTGACTGCAGGATGGCACAATTGACTGTAGAGCTCCCCGGGCTGAGCCCAGATTTGGAGCAGCTGAAGGAGAGGGTGCAGGGGGGCTGGGCCCCAACGACAGGCCCAGCCAGGAGGCCTGAGCTGTCATGGCTCCACCTGCCCAGTGAAAGTGTGGCTGCCGCCTGGCTTCCATTTGTAACGCTGCCAACGTTCTTTTGAGCCCAACTAGGCAGGAGAGGAGACCCTGGAAGCCTGCCGCAGCTCAGCTAAATGGACATGTTCCAAACTCACTGTGTAGGTGCTGTATCGGGGGATGTGTTCTCACATCCTCTTAGCATCTTACCCCCTTGAAGACCTCTGGCTGGTTTTCCCTCTTAAACAGCACAAAAGGGTTGTGTGGAGTTGATGGAACTACATAGGCAGTGGGGACAACCATACCTGGACTTCATCCCAGTGGCACGACAAGGGTTTGATCTTGAGACTCACTCACCTTCATTTTCCTACCCGTAACACGACGGGGAAAGAGAAACTGCTTCACAGAGAATCAATGAGATACAATCTGCAATGTGCCAACCCAGAGTCACTCCTATGTTGACTCCCCCAGCTGCCCCTTGGGGTTCCCAGCCAGTGGGAGAGAGAATCCCACTCCAGTGTGGAGTCTGGGTGGAAGGGGCCAGAGATGACAGGTGTGTGCCCTGAGTACTGAGCGTGTGGACACGGGGAGGGATCTCGG